ATTTGCTAGGCAGAGGACAACTCATAACAGCTGGGCTAAAAGCTAGGTTAGTCTTTTGTACCATATCGTTCACTGCAGCGTGGCCCTTCCCTTTCATCGCTTGCATGACATCGTCAACCTTGGCTTTCAGATCCTGCAACTCTAAATCGAACTGAGTGGCGTCCTCAGTCTTGTCTCCAACATAACTAGAAGTATCTCCACGGAGCCTGGTGGTATTTTGTTCAGGGGACCGATGGTGATGGCTCCTCTATTGACCCCCTATTTGACTAAGCTCAACATCGTTGTTAACCTTACGAGAGTCATCGTTGGGTACTTCACTGTTTCTCTCCTCGTTGGGGGAGGCTAAGCGTTGCAGAATCATCGCATTTTGCTGGACTAACTGGTTCACCAGTTGTTCCAACACTGCGACGCGTTCCTGATCATTTGGGACGACGGGGGGTTGCCTCGTTGAAGTCCCTGCATCAGAAGCCTACAACCCTTCGCCTTCGCCAGCAGCCAGACCAGATCGCAATAGAACCATGCTTTGTTTAGAGAACAAAAATAAGTTCCCACAGACGGCGCCAACTGTTGAAGATGGATTCTGCGCAATCCGGATCTGATCTGACTTCCTGAATAAAGAGAAGAAAAAGTGATCCTACAAACACCGGTGTGTTACCGGTGGAGTAGGCTCCGACGAACAAGTCAGTGTGAATGATAATCTCTCTGGAGAAATCGAGATATTGAGTTAGGTTTTTTTATCTACCTCCAAACGTCGATTAGCCCTCCCTATTTATAGGACTTGGGTCAGGATGTTACGTAGCGTCCACGTCATCCTTAATCCTTATCATAATCTGTTGGCCTAATCCTTATCGTATTCTGCAATTCTTATCGTAATCTGTAACCCTTATCTTAGTCGTAGTCCTTATCTTAGTCTGTAGAGCCTATCTCAATCTTATGAGATAGCGCGTTACTTTAACGATCTTCCCCTATCCACGAGTAATTAAATTATAATCATCACTACTCTTATAAAATAGTACTTTACAATTCCATGCTCTCTACATCACTTTTATTATACCTTCTCTTAATTTTATTTTATTTGACATGCATTTTTATATGAACCATTTGGACTGCCAAAATGCCAAATGGGCTTTTTTTTGAAGGTTTTTTTGGTATAGTTTTGACGAGTCCATTTTGACATAATAAGATTCTATTTCGATTAGAAGTAGCTTAACTCGCAACACAACAGATTTGCTATTGATGTTTTTTTAGCCAAATTCTATTGTTTAGGGTCCTGAAAATTGTATCTTTCCTTTTGAAAGTTAGAAATCTAAAAGGATTTAAATTTTTTTATTATAATTTTTTATCAAGTTCCCATTTGTTTTTGTTAAAAGTACAGATTTGAATTCTTTTATTTAGAATTCCTTATTTTAAAAAAAAAATTAAGCCTTGCGCTCTAATAATAGTATGTTAACTACTCTTTAATACATAAGCTTAAGTTGTAAAGTACGTGTAATTTTAATATTTAAATAAAGAGTAGTGATTTCAATGATATATATTACTAGGGCTGTTGTCTTGCAGAGTTTGGGAGTTCATTTGATAAGAATGGGGCGGTTTGGATAAAATGATTTTAGTTCATTTATTTCTTGTATGTATTTACATCTCTGTTTTGGATTTGTTCTCTAAAGTATTGCCTACCAGTATTTATTTATTTTATTTTTTTATGCTGCTGACTTTGAGAAGAGTTTTTTAATTTTAGAAAACTGAAAATTGTACAAATTCTTTTTTATTTGATTCAGTTTTATGAAAACTTAGTTATAAAATGTTTGTTTTCATAAAATTGTTTTCAGAATTACAAATCAAGTTAGTACAAAAAATTGAGTCACTCAGCTCCCTCAAATTTAAACCCAACCCAGCCCAATCCATATTTTCAAAATGAAACTATTAATAAATTATTTTTCAAAATTTTTGGGCTGAATTTTGGTTGAACTAGGGCTAGATAGAGATTAGTCCCAGCAGGTTAAAGACATATACATACCTTCCAAAGTGGATGGTGAAGGTTTAAATCCTTAAAGGAGGATAAAGTGAATGCTTGTATATGTGTGTTTTTCCAATGAAGGACCCCAAAAAAAAAAATCCTCAACTCATTTCACCTCCAAATGCCTTTTTTTATTTTTATTTTTCCATCTCTCCTTCCACTTGTTGGTCTTGGATTTGGTTTCTACGAGTAAATATACATGCTTATATGTTACTATATAAGGTCATGTAAGATTTATACCAATATGCAAAATCAATATTACAAAATAAATACTACGTAAAAAATAAGGCAATTGATAAATATATACACTATATAATAGTCTAGTGAATCGAGGTCTGGACAGGCCCAAAACACTTAATCATGTCAAAGCCCAATCCAAGATTACTGATGGTTGTACACCCAACCTTGGGCTAGGTAATCCATACCCTATAAGAATAGGACAAAACGGTAACAAATTGACACTTGTTCATTGATAAATATCTTCCGTACAAATTGCGATAAATAAGGAAATTCAAGATTAATCAGTTGTAGAAGGAGATAGTCGGGTCAAATCAGGGTTGTTTAAAAGGAAATTATTTTTTTTTTATTTTATAAATTTACCCATTAAAGTCATTTGAGCTCAATAGTTATTAATGGCTAATCCAAATAAAATAAGTTTTCTAATTTAGCTATAGGCAAGTACAGTTTTTTCTGCTGGCAAGGGAGCAGTTGAATTTGTGTAAATAGATAGAGAGAAAAAGAGAGTGATTTGGCATGTGTGGGTCACAATATTAAATAGGGGCATTTTTGTCATTTAAATTTATAAATATTTTGTATTAAAAAAATGAGCGTAAATTGGTCAATTTGTATGTGTTAGAAATCAAGAAATAAATTTTTTTTTTTTTTTTTTTTTTTTTTTTTTAGTGCTAAGATTTAATATCAAAGCATCCTAAGATAAAGGTTGTAGGTATGTCTGTTACTGTGCTTATCATTTACGAAACTTTATGTTCCAGGTTAAGGTTTCAGCCATTTTTATACTCTAAATTAGGATTTTGTGAGACTTGTTTGGTTCAGTTTTCTATAACTTAAAATAAAGGAATTGTTTACTTTTCTCGTCTGATTCACTGGACTATTATATAGTGTATATATTTAGAAACATATACAAATAATTTAGTTTCAGTTACTCCTTCAAGTAATTAGCATTTAAAAGTGCACTTAAAATGACATTTCAGAAGTGTTAACTGTAATTTGTTTTTGATAGTGCTGAGATTTAAGACCAAAGTATTCCAAAACCAAAGTTGTAGATGTGTCTGTTACCGAGCTTGCCTTCAACCAAATTTTAACTATCTTTATGCTTCAGGTTAAGGTTTTAGCCTTCTTTATACTACAGGTTAGGGTTTTCTTAGAGCTGTTTGGTTCAGTTTTTTAGAATTTAAATTAAAAAAATTATTAAAATTTTGTTTGATTGAGTGTTATTTAAAAGTGTTATCTACAATAGAATTTTTGATTGAGTGTTATTTTTTACTTTTTTCATCTGATTGACTATTATATAGTGTATACTTTTGGAAACATATACAAATAAGTGATTTAGTTTCAGCTACTCCTTCAAGTAATTAGCATTTAAAAGTGCACTTAAAATTGACATTTTAGAAGTGTCAACAGTAATTTGTCTTTTTTTTTTGATAGTGCTGAGATTTAAGATCGAAGTACCCCAAGATAAAAGTTGTAAGTGTGTCTGTTACATTGCTTGTCTGCTACGAAACTTCAGCCGTCTTTATGTTCCAGATTAAGGTTTCAATCGTCTTTATACTCCAGATTAGGGTTATGTTGCTTGGTTCAGTTTTCTAGAGCTTAAAATAAAAAAATTTATTAAAATTTTATTTAATTGAGTGTTATTTACAAGTGTTATTTACAATGGAAATTTTGATTGAGTGTTATTTTTTTTCTTTTCTCATCAGATTCACTGGACTATTATATAGTGTATATATTTGGAAACATTTACAAATAAGTTATTTAGTTTCAGTTACTCCAAATAATTAGCATTTAAAAGTGCACTTAAAACTGTCATTTAAGAGAAGTTTGTTTTTTTTTTTTTTTTTTTTTTTTTTTTTTTTTTTTTTTAATGTTGAGATTTAAGACCAAAGCACCCCAAGACAAAGGTGGTAGGTGTGTCTCTTACCGTGCTTGCCTTCTACTACGAAACTTCAGTTGTCTTTATGTTCGAGGTTAAAGTTAAAGTTTCAGCCATCTTTATGCTCCAGGTTAGGGTTTTGTAAGACCTGCTTAGTTCAGTTTTCTAAAACTTAGAATCAAAAAATTGTTAAAATTTGTTTAATTGAGTTTTATTTACAAGTGTTATCTACAATAGAAATTTTGATTGAGTGTTATTTTTTTCTTTTCTCATCTGATTCACTCGACTATTATATAATGTATATATTCGGAAACATATAAAAATAAGTGATCTAGTTTCAGTTACTCCTTCAAGTAATTACTTGTGATTAATTGTTTTAGGGTTTTTAAAAGATGGAAATGAGATCATCGATTATTATACAGGCATCTATTTTAAAAAACGAAAACAATCCAAATTGGAAATATAGAATCAATGCGTTACAAAATTTGTTAATTTAAGTAGTCTGTATTTCTTAGAGCAAGGATCGAACCCTAATAAATATTGTGGCTAAAATTCCAATGAAGTTTGGGATAACATCCGACACTCCTCAAGAGAATAATGAATTGTACTAATCTTCACCCAAATGGCTGCTATGCAATCCCTTGTGCCAGAATTAATTAATTGTACTGATATTTGATGAATGGTGGGTTCAGTTCTAGAAAGTACCGGAATTTGATGAGCGATGGGTTCAGTTCTAGAAAGTACCGGAAATTTTCCCGCCCTGGGTTGATAGAGTAGAGTCTATCGCGTATTTCTCTTGGGAAAAAAAGAGATCCTCTCAATGAAGCAGTGAAAAACCGAGCAAGCAGAATTCTATCCTTCCAAACAGCATTAAGCTTCAGATAAAAAAAATTTGATTCACAATACAAGAAGACCCACAAACCATTCACATCAACTATATCAATCTATTTAGTGATAGAAACAAAATTACTCTCCGCCAAAGAGCCAACAGAATACAAAACTTAACAGAATAGCAGCTCCAAACAAACTGAAATTACAAAAACACTTTATTCAGCAATTTCCTCTTCTTCCTCCTCATACTCATCATCATCAGCAGTGGCATCCTGGTATTGCTGGTACTCAGCCACAAGATCGTTCATGTTACTCTCAGCCTCGGTAAACTCCATTTCATCCATTCCCTCACCGGTGTACCAGTGCAAGAAAGCCTTTCGCCTGAACATTGCTGTGAATTGCTCACTTACCCTCCTAAACATCTCCTGAATTGAAGTTGAATTACCCATGAAAGTAGATGCCATCTTCAGACCCTTTGGCGGGATGTCACACACACTAGACTTAACATTGTTGGGTATCCACTCAACAAAGTAGGAGGAGTTCTTGTTCTGGACATTTATCATCTGTTCATCTACCTCTTTTGTGCTCATCTTACCACGAAACATGGCTGAAGCAGTTAAGTAGCGACCATGACGTGGGTCAGCAGCACACATCATGTTCTTAGAATCCCACATTTGTTGGGTCAGTTCGGGGACAGTGAGATTCCGGTACTGCTGGGAACCTCTGGAGGTTAAAGGAGCAAACCCAACCATGAAGAAGTGAAGTCGTGGAAATGGAATAAGGTTAACCGCAAGCTTGCGAAGGTCAGAGTTCAGCTGTCCAGGGAACCGAAGACAGCATGTGACACCGCTCATGGTAGCAGAGATCAGGTGGTTCAGATCACCAACTGCAATACGTCAGGGCATGGTAAAATTTGGCGTAAGAATGAGTGTATGTATATTCCGCCAAATATCCAAATCATTTAAGTTAAGATCTTCCACATCATCTAAAAGGACTGGAAAGCTTATGTTATTTTTATTAAATGTCCATTCAAAATTTTGATGTTTTCTTTGCTTGTAGATGTAAAAAGTAAAATAAAGAGAGATAAATGAGCAATTCCTTCTGAAGTCAAATAACAAAACTAAAATTTCAGTTGGCACATTGTGGGAATCAAATGTCTTTCAATATGGGCAAAGAATACCTATCAATTTCCAAAAAAGATAATCGGATAATTGTATGTTTCCTCCCTTGTTTCTAATTAATATGAGTAGAATAACCAAAATTCTTTCTAATAGATCAACAATTGTTCAGCATATAGAGCAACAAATTTGAACTTACAAGTGGGGGTTGCAAGCTTCAGAGTACGGAAGCAGATGTCATACAGAGCCTCATTGTCCAAAACCATACATTCATCAGCATTCTCAACAAGTTGATGAACAGAAAGGGTAGCATTATACGGTTCAACAACTGTGTCAGATACTTTGGGAGAAGGAAACACTGAAAAAGTCAACATCATGCGATCTGGATACTCCTCCCTGATCTTGGAAATGAGAAGGGTTCCCATTCCAGAACCAGTTCCCCCACCCAAAGAATGACAAACTTGGAATCCTGTCAATAAAATAAATTCAGTGCATTAAAAAGAAAGAGGCATTACTATATTGTGACTGATGGATGAATACAAAACTGCAGCATTACCTGAAATTTCATGTTTATAAAAAATATACTTTATATTGTTAAAAAAAGAAGAAGAAGAAGGGACAAGCTCAAAAGTACAATGTTGCTCATGTCAGGCAGACTGAAATCCTCTAATCAACAGTAAAACCAAAGAACTAATATGGATCTCCAACATACTCTAAATTGTTCTACTTTCCTACTTACAACAGATCTGCAGAAAGCAATCAACTGATCGAGTCATGACATGTATAATATATAGTCTACAAATTTATGACATACAATTATATAAAGGTGTCACTGTTTCTCAAAGCAAATCACAAGTTTTAAGGGTTACTGCACATGCTCTAGAAATCTGCAGGATTGCCACTTAGGTCTTCTCTATGTTGAATAACGTCTTCAAAGAAAAGGCATATGGATATCGTGCCACTGAATGATAGATTAACAGGAAAGATAAATCAAATGCCATAAACAAAAATATATTCAGATCACGAGAAAACAGAAGAATAAAATTTAAAAAATATGAATCTGTGTACGAAAATGACAAGCTATCTTATGAGAGAGAACTGTTCATTCAAAGCTGTGACTACGAATCAGCAACTAAGCTTTGAATCATTGACATACATAATTCAGAAGAAAGAAGAAGAAAATGACATTGATTTCCAAAGTAAATTGAAGACAAACCACAAGGAAACAATTATCTCAACAACGATTTGAAGTGGAACATTATCACAATGCAGGCCAGATCAATACCAACTATAACATTATACAAGAACCAATCGAAACCTTAATTTCCATCTAGCACCATGAAATTATCACTTGATCATTAAACCATTATCAAAGCCCAACAACAAAACCTATGAAAATAAAGAAAACCACAATAGAAGCAAGCAATTTACACAGGCCACAAGCAATCACAATGTTGTCAGTAAATTTTCTAATTCTCTAACAAATACAAGGTAAGCAACAAAGAAAACAAACCCTAAACTTTCAAAAAACTTTCAAAGTAATGTAAGTTCAAATCCAACAAACCCAATCATATAGACAAAACCAACAATTCGACAACCAAAAAGGAACACACATATAATCAAAGCAACAAAACCCACATATAATACAAACCCATATTTCTCTATAATTCCATATCTAATCAATCCAATACCAAAAACATAAATCAAATTACATTAATCCCAAATAAAATCTACAATAAGAAAAACACAAAAGAACAACTATGCCCACATAAAGCAAACACTAATTTAAATATTAAAACATAGGAAACTAAAGGAAAAACATTTTAACTATTCAAACACATACATGATTAATGAAAATGTACAAGAACAAGTTTCTATATTACCTTGTAAGCAATCACAATTCTCAGCCTCCTTCCTGACAACATCAAGAACAGCATCGATCAGCTCAGCTCCTTCAGTGTAATGCCCTTTGGCCCAATTGTTTCCCGCACCGGACTGTCCGAAAACGAAGTTATCGGGGCGAAAGATCTGACCGAAGGGTCCAGATCGGAGGGAGTCCATGGTGCCCGGCTCGAGATCCATGAGGACGGCGCGTGGGACATATCGGCCTCCACTGGCTTCATTGTAGTAGACATTGATGCGCTCGAGCTGAAGCTCAGAGTCGCCGTTGTACTTGCCGGTGTAATCTATGCCGTGCTCGTCGCAGATCACTTCCCAGAACTTAGCTCCGATCTGGTTGCCGCATTGGCCTCCCTGGATGTGGAGGATTTCTCTCATTTTCTCGAGAAAATGTTTTGATGGAAAGTTTGAGGCGTTTTTTGGTTGGAGGAAATGGAGAGAGATCTGAGAGGTTTAGAGATAGAGACAAAGGGTCGTTGACGATGAACGGAGGACCGGGAATGGAGGGAATTGGGGGAAGAAAATGGTGGGGTGGTGTTTTATAGTGGGGTTTAATTTCAATTGTTACAGGTATTGTTTGTTGATTGCCACCTATGCAGTAGTACAGCGCAAGTAGTGTACTGCAGAGGATCTTCACTCCCTACTCGGATCTGGTGTCCTGTCCATATGGCTAGTTTTTTTTCTTTGAGTGGAGAATTCAAGTCTCTCCAAATACAGTGTGATTAAGAAAAATAATAATTTTATCTCGTAAAAAAATTAAGAAAGAGGATGTTATTGGGCATTTGAAGAGCCCAGACCAGACAATACATATCAGGTCGGCTACATTGGCCATTGGGATAGGCCCTGTTTAACCTTCTGATAACCCAATAGGTAATTTGTTTATTTTCAAGGCCTCAAGGCCTGATAAGAGCCTAAACTATATATCAGGCTTTCACCACATAACACAGTTATCAGGTTTGATGGATTGGATTAGCCCAAACTTGTAAGTTTGTAACTGTAAAAAAAGGTAAACAGACACCATAAAAAAATTCAGTTAAAACAAAAAATTATTACCAAAAAAAAAAATGAAAGAAAGAAATTTGTCAATTACACCTATTGATTTCAATAATTATTAAATTATACTATTTGGTTAAGCTATGACAGAATAACTGGTCTTAGTTGTTAAAGTAATTATACGCGTTGAGATTTTAGAAGAAAATATCCCCAAATATATATATATAGACGTGTTTAAAAAATTATGAACATTGCTAACAATTTCTTTACCATGTAGAAAACCGTAAATAACTTTTTTAAAAAATATTAATATTCTCGATTCTGCTAAAAAAAAAAAATTAACTTAATTTTTTTTTTTCTAATGCCACACATATTGGGGAAGTGGTCAATCATCATGATAAGCACGAGTTTCCCATGTTACACTTGCTGTTTACCCCAGCTTTTGTTTAGAGAAAGGCTAAAGAAAGCACATTCATGCACTGCCCACAAAGTGAAGGGACCCACAGACCAGCTGGCTTCACTTAACTCTCACTCCACTTACCATGGGGCATTATTATTATTGTTTATCAAATCATTTTCATTTTTGTTGTTTGTCTTTTTCAACCTTTTAATGTAATAAAGACACACGCTAGTAGTTGATACTCTACTTTTCCATCTTTGTTACAATATTGAAAGAATTTCCCTCCATCGATCCTTTTGGGGGAGAATGGTGGGACCAATAAAAAAAATATCTTAACCTTTTATTTTTCGAAACTGAAAAAATATCTAAACTTGCTTGAAAAATAGTCTTGGAATATGCATATAACAGTTGTCTTCCATATACTTTTGTGTACTTAGATTATTTTTTAATGTCATTAAATTAAAAAACAGTAACATGGAATTACATTAAATTAAGAATGCAATATCATTTATTCAAACATATTATATTTCTAATTTAATAGTATTATAGTATTGCATCCTGATATAATAAGTGATATTATATGTAACGCAAATATTTATGCTAATATTGTATTACATTATGAATAATGCTTGTCTTAGGTCGTACAAGAAGAGGTAGTCCAATAAAACATCAACATTTGTTAAAAAAATTTAAGATAAAAAAAAAAAAAAAAAAAAAAAAAAGAAGAAGAAGAAAGAGAATGGCTGATAAAAAAAACCCATCCCTTACTCTCTCACACCAACTCTTATTACGTTAATAGAAGAAGAAAAGAAGTGTCCCTCTCTCACTGTAAATAAACATCTACACATATCTATATGTGTGTGTGTGTGTGTATATATATATATATATATATATATATATACTTTTTTATGTGTGTTGAAGTTTCTTTTAAATTAAGATTATTGCTTAAAATCGTGAGATCAAATTTAAAATCAAATAAAATTATATTCTCTTTATATCTTTCTCTCTCTAGATTTCAGTATCGTTGATTGATTTATAATTTGAATTGACCAATGGTCGTTGCCTTCATCTCAGGGATGAAATAGTTAACCATTCTACTACGAGAAGCATTTGATTTCATACACCTCCACCCGTGTTACTTTCGGTAATATCGTATTATGACTCCGACAATAAGTTCAGTTCCAAATCCATAAAGCCTAATCGAAATCGGATCTATTCCAGGAAATGGGAGGTCGTATGCCAGCGGCCTTTCCATCGTCGTCGAACTTTGTTGGAGAGCTTGTTGATACTTCGAGATAGGAGACAGCTTGTACATTTTTTATTCTTGGTAGTCATCTTTTTCTTTTATCTCACAATTTTAATACATGTTAGAAATTTTATTGGGCCACCTCATCGTAAAAAGGAAACATTTTTCTTACATTATTGTGTCCTTAATTTAACGGAATATTTACGCTGGCTGGATCGTAATAAATAGCAAGACTAGATTTAAAATATACCAGAGTATTTGAGAAAATCCCATCTCTTGTGAAAATATAATGGGTGTGTACTCATCCATTTATCCCGGTAAAGAAAGACTTAGTGTTGACTAATCATATATAACACCTAATAAAGGATAAAACAGATAAAAATAGCCATTAATATTAATGGATCAATTAATTCATATAAATTATTTACCAAACACATTACACACCAAACACATTACACACACACAAAAAAAAAAAAAAAAGAAAAAAAAAAGAAGAAGACATATTTCAAGAATTGTAAGCACTTTAAATTGCAAAAAGGAAAGATCCTTTCTTTTTCGTTAGGAAAATCTCCTCCACCTCTCTTGTCTTTTCTATCTTTATTTTTTTTAACTAGCTCATCTGTTTCACACCTTTGTAGTATATGCTATGAATAATTGAATACACGTTGTTAGTTAAATATTCATTACTAGCTTTGCTAGTAAGGCACGTTGATTTGAAGGCTCAATTAAAAATCGCACATGGTGCATTAACTTTGTTCGATTGGAATCAATTTTTGAAAAAGACTTTTGGCATATATAATTGCACTATATTTTGTAAATTGAATAGGAAAATATGTTCTAAAACTTAAACCAAAAAATGTGTTTTATTTTTTAGGTAATATTGCAAAATTGAGGTTTAGTAACCTAGGATTACCAAAGACAATTTCAAAAGAAAAAAAATATGTATGTGAATTTCTTGGTAAAGTAATGAAAGTGAAAAAAAGAGAGAAAGTAATCATTTGAAAAGATAAGATTAAAATAAGCTTTTTGATAAAATAAAATAAAAATAAAAATAAATTTTCAAAACGATACAGTTTTTCAGCATACGGGTATTTGAGTAAGAAAAAAACAAAAAAGAAAAGTAAAACCATCTCAAAGAATTTAAAAAAAAAAAAAAAACTAATAATAATTTTATAAGTAATTGTCACTTTTGTGGTCAGCAAAATAAAATTACAGGCACAAACCGATAAAACCGTCCAAACACATACTTATCTGTCACTTTCTCAAGAAATAGAGAACACGATATATGCATTCATTCCCTGTCCAGCTCTCTTCCTCACGCGGTCATTGACTCGACTATGTCTCTCTATACTTTCTCTCTCATGAAATTTCACAGGGCTTTCAGTTTTCACACCATCTCCTGTAACAATTGATTATTTATACCCTTAATCATTTCATCTCTTTCATTCACATCCTCTCTCTAATTTACTTGTGGGGTGGGGGTATATGTACATACACATATATTTAATTCTCCATGAAGATTTTAAGAATTTCTATTGATCAACGTGTATTTCTTGTTCAATTGAACCCATTTGAGAATCGATTGAGTTTCTGATTTCATTTGTTTGCTCTATCGATTTGCTATAGAAATCATGCCTTTTCCATGGAAGAAAGGAAGCAAGCGCACGCGAATCTCTCAATTGGTTGCTGGTCATCTCAAGTCGCCCAAACGCGGAGGTTCGCTCGTCGTCGAGACCGGTTTTCCGACATCTCTCATCGATCTCTTCGTCAAGAATCGAGACCGATTGAAGAAGAAGAAGAAAACTAGGTACGACGCTTCCGATCCGATCCAGAATCAACCCTCAACGCCTTTTGAATCTTTTCCGGCATCGCCGAGGTCTAGTGTTTCGGGTGACGAATTCAAGAACGCTAAACAGAGTCCTTTCAGGGATTTGAATATTCCGAGTGCTTTGGGTGTGGGTGATGAGATTGAAGGTGGTGGTGGTGGTGAAGTTGCAGATGCGAATGGGGTTTTCATGGCGGTTTTGAAGATTTCACTCGTGGTGGTTTTGGCTTTGGGGACGAAGAGATTTGCGGTTGGGATCACCATGTCTGCTTTTTTGCTAATTTTTCTAGAGTTTGCAGGGAAACATGGATGTAAATTGTCGAAACCATGTGCTAGTGTACAGAAGAGATTGAATTCTCTGATCCAAAGCGTTCTTTGGTTTTTCAGAATCGGAGGGGAGAAGTTTGTGAAGAAAGAAGAAGAAGAGATTAGGGTTTTGAAGGCACCAATTGAACAAGAAACAATTGTTTTTCACGAATTGAGTGATTCCAATGAAGAATTTATAGTTTTACAATCCAATTCTGTTTTAGTGCCTCCAATTGTGGAAATACAGTGCGTGAAAGATGATTTTGAAGGAGAGAGAAAAGGGGGATTTGAAGAATTGGATACAAAAAAGGAGATTACCAAGAAAGAAGAGGATCGTGTAGGTGATGTTTCCGACAAGCAACAACGTTCTCGCAGTGCTAAGATAAAATCGAAGATGAAAAAACTTGTTCCGAAGAAGTTTCGTGTTTCGAAGAAGAAAGGACAGGATTTGAAAATTGAAGAACGTATTTGTATGGCAGATGATGTGTTGGTTGTGTCAGAAGTACAAGAACCGGAAGAATGTGGTGACGAATTGTCGTTGTTATCGAGTGCATTGTGTGATCAGGAAGATGGTGATGATGTGATTAGTAATTCTACTGAAGTGTCGCGGATTGAGGTGGAAAAGGAAACAGAGAAGAATTCAGGAACAGAGAGGAATTTATGGTATCTCATTCTTGTTCTGACTGTTCTTGTTGGGCTTGTAGGTGGCCGGGTAATGGCGCTTGTTCTTACTGTGTCGTCGTGTTTCATGCTGAAATCGGCTAGAGCACTATGGAGATCTGAAAAGATGCCCCTGTTCAGGTCTCCTACCAAAAAATCTACTTGCACTTTAGAATACCCTTGTTTATAGATGCCTTTTTTCTTTTCAATTCATGTTGTTTTGCTTCTTATGAAGTGTTCTTTCAGCTTTATATTATATCCTGAAAGTTTAAACTGACTGAAGATTCAACCTATGGTTGGCAATCCGACTTGAGGTGTTGTATTATGAACTGCAGAAAATGTAGATGCAAAAGTTATAATCAATGAGATGATACTTTTTCTTTTGTCACTGTGATTTGACTGTCAATGATGCTCATATGTACAATTATGTAAATTGAAGCTTTCTCTTTAATTTAATATTAAGCCCATTATTCGCATTTCAAGTAATCTCTTCAAGCATTGTTTTTTGCTGATATGAATGAATGAGAAGTTTGTCCTAAGTTCTATATTGTTGTTATGGGATTGTTCAAGTGATTCCAACTCTATAAATTTTTGGGTAGTCATGGATGATTAGATTTTTCTTAAATTTGATTAACCTCGTTGCTCTGTTTGTTGCTAAGATGAAAGAAGAGAATTGGAAAAGTGGAATTTGATGTCCCTCGTTGCTCTATTTGTTGCCACATAACTACACGAGGGTTGGCCAGCCTATGAAGATTCATGCGTGAAGTTGCAGTTGTAAGTCATTTTTATTTTTTTTCAGTTGCTTTTCCTTTTTTCCTTCTTATTTTCCTCCCATTATCTGTCTTTTTAAAGAGAAAAAACATCATATGCAAGTATATGGGGTATTGTAGAACTATTGTTGAAACTACACATAGGAGAGAGGTTAAAAGCTACCATAACAGTCATAGTTACAAGTAGATGTCCATTCACTTTGTTTTATTCTATTGTAGTCTAAATTCTATGATCTTACATTTGGAAAACTTGATTGGTTCCTCAACATTCACCACATCCTTCCAACTATATACCCAAAGATTTGGGCTTTAGATTTCTTCATCGAACCATCTTTCCTTAGCTGAGTATTGACCTTCCATATTAGATTTCTGTGGTGCCATCTTGACAATCTTGTTCTGTGCCTTAAAAACTTTTTGACAGCATGGAGCTCATCTGGATAACAACATTTGTAGTGATGCTTTCGTTTCTTATCCATTCGCCTGTCTTATTTTTTGGAGATCTCCTCCTCCTAAAAAATGTATAGATTAGGTTAGCACTCTTAACTCATGCTAGCACTAAGTTGATGTTCACGAGCTATGAGTGTTAACCCCTCTTTCTGTTGTAACAGCTCAATCCTGCTCAAGAGAGCAATTGCAGAACCGTAGTGCTCAATATTTGGTTGAATATTGAGAAACCCCACCATCCTACCTCATCAACTAGCCCAAATGTCTTTATGCTGCTAATCTACCAAGAAAAAAGTCGCCTTATTCAGCCTAATGCCATGTCTTTCAATCAACTGAAAAACCTTAAATTTTCTGAATACATGTTGATCAGAACTGTGCCAATAAAAGCATCCTGTTTTATATTGTTCTGGAGGATATGTTGTGTGCTTATTAGTAATATCCTTTATATTGTGTTCCCAGTTATTAGGCATGTTAATCTGTTTAAAGAAATTCAGTTACATTTTGAATTATATAAATTGCTTTGGTCATTTATGTTATAATTCCCAATTTTTACTACTCTTAAGCCTGTTTTAGTGAATAACTTAATTGTTGACATGCATATATTAAACCTCAGCAGAATAGATTTAGCATAAATCTGTAGTACAACAGAAAACACATTTTAGATAAATATAAGAAGCTTTATAGGAAGCTGAATGGCATACCAAGCTTCAATATTGACTTGCACACAATAATGAAGAAACGACGTAACAGAAACCAGAGACAATGGCATAGCTATTGCCTCGTAAACAAATTGAACTCTTCGTGGACTCATTACTCATCTAGAATGGTGCTTGAAGGCTTTTAATTATGCTCTTATCCACCTGGAAAGCCTTTGCAAGAACATCAGTAGAAATGGAAGGGTTTGATCCGAAAACAACATTTGCGATGGTGTTGACACCAGGGTTCTGGCTGCTCAAGCCGGAGATAGAGACTGCATTTCCACTTCCCACATTTCGCTGGAAGTGGACAAGCCCTAGTGGGAAGACAAAAACATCACCCTTTCGAAGGACTTTTGAGATGAACCGGTTATCTGGGTTGGTGGTCACAAAGCCAACCTCAAGGCTGCCTTCTATTACTGTCAGTACCTCTGTGGCACGAGGGTGCGTGTGAGGAGGGATAACACCCTTTGGTGCATAGTCTAAGCGTGCCACTGAGATGCCAAGGGTGTTAAGGCCAGGTAATTGAGCCACAGTGACAGGGGTCACCTTAGAGCCAAGGGGGTTGGACGTGTTACCAGCTAAATGGAGACCACTGAAGGAGAAATGATCAGCTTTTACCATCTTAGGATCCATGCAAGTTTGACCATTTACTCGAACTGAAAAAATAAACGTAGCAAGAATTTATTCATCAAAGTAAACAGTTAACTTATTGAAAGTTATAATGCAAAATAAAGTTGATTGTAGTGTGCAATTGTTGTATGCAATTTGGTTCCTCACCTGAGCTAGTTAGGTCTGCGACGCAGAAATCTTGCAAGGGACTGGGCTCAAAGGCAGTTACCAGAGCAAATGAAAAAGCTAGCAAACTCAACAAGAAAATGTAGAGTGCCATCTAAATCTTCAAGAATAAGCTATTCCTATCTGAGTAGTTTATCCAGTTTGAGGTGCAAAACAAGCATGTCATGCAATTCTTAAATAGAGATGGTTGAAATGAAGAAGGAAGAAGAAGTCATCACTAAAGATAATATGCCGACTAATATACAAATTAAAGTACATTACATAAAACTATGACAGAAAATGCTTCTCTGTATTCCAAATCTCCACGAATTATTCTCCATCTTCCATAGGTTTTTTTTTTTTTTTTTTTTTTTGGGTAAAATACGCTTATCTCCCCTTTTGAATGCCTAAATAACTGGGACCTCCCTCTAGTTTAAAAAATAATAGACCTCCCCTGTAGTTCTGGTTTGAGTAACACTAACCTCCCTTGTCATAAAATTCGTTACATTGTTTACTGATGTCATATTTGAAATTTACTTAAAACCTAATATTGCCCTTGGAAAACTTGAAAAGACATTTTTTTGTCCATTTCGTTGTATAGTTATCATTTAATACCTTCGGGCCAAGATCAATACCGACAGGAGAGGGCAGTGTAATTTTTTAAATTATAAGAGAAGTCTCTGTTATTTAGGCATTCAACAAGGTGGTCATTGTAATTTACACCCCCTCGTTTTTTCCCGACTAAGGTTCTTATTCCATAGGTGTGAATTTGGAAATTATTCATTTGCATGTTATGTTGAGCATGCCATTCCAAATGTTTATGATACTAGAATATATGGTTCCAATATATATGTTAAAAAAATCAGGTAAGTTAAAGCAAGAAATATAATAAATACATTCTTATGGATCAGTTTGTGGTTACTATAACAACCAGTGGTTACTATAACAACCATTTTAAGAACTTCATAGTTATTTAAATCCATTTCCTTCTGTTTGTTCCTTTTGTATCTTATTTACTTATTTAGTCATCAGGCATTCTATATCAAGTCTGGGCCCAAATTGGGTAGTTATAGACAGATTCGTTATCATAATACTTGTTTAATGAGTTATTCTTGCAGATAATGAGAAGATTAACAAGTCATATTGGCCTGGGAAGGGTAAAGCTCAAGCCATTAATTAGTCAGGTGTATACCACATATTTTGTCTTGAATCATTAGAAAATATATTTCGATAAAATATAAAGATGGATTTTGTTTCTCTCCTTTTATTTAAATCTTGGCCTGTATTCATCTATTCAATTTTAGTGATACCTTTAATGAACAAAATCAGAAAGTATGTTCTGTCACTAAGAGCTACTCCATCAATGCTCTTTTTGGCGAAATTGGGCCAATTTTTGGAGATTAAATGCTCCAATGGACTATGGGAAAGGTGGCCCCAAAGAATGACTCTTAATGGTGGTCTCTAGAAAGTAAGAGTGGCTTGGCGATTGGGCTCACTTTTTGTGGGCCCATTTTTATTTTCTTTTATTTTTTAAATTCAGGCCGGAACACTATTCCTAAGGGCATGTTTGGCTGAAATAAAAGTTAAAATTCAGATTTTTTGCTTACTTTTTTTTTTTTTTTTTTTTTTTTTTTTCCTTTAAAATAATTGAACCAAAGAGCCGTTAAGACACTATTTGGCTGATACAAATAGTGCCTTAAAGGCTTTTTTAGGCCAAAAAAAAAAAAAAAATTAAAAATTGAAAAAAAGTGATTTTTTTTTGTTTTTAAATTTTTTAATATTCCTATTGACATTATAGCCGTTAGGAAAAAGTTAAAAAATAAATTTTATTTTAAATTTTAAAAATATTAATATTTTAGGAGAGCGAAAGTTCACCATTAGAGTACATGCGATAGTTAAAATTTAGATACTTTAAAATGCTGACGTGGCTATGAGAAATGTTTATGTGGCTATTGAAAAATGTTGATGCGGTAAATTCGAAGAGCCTAATTTTAGAGTCTATTGGAGATGCCCTAAGCTTGTTGCTATTGATTGAGAGGACTCGCTATCAATTAATTACTTCTGTAATCTAGTTCATCTTCATAAGATCTGGCATAGAGACGGTATAAATGGTTGGGTCAATAACGGGTCACGACCCGTTAACAAAACAACTAATTAATGGTTAATTTAGATCTATTACAAGAAGTTAAATACAGAATTTGTTGAAAACAAAAGAGACCAGCACATAAAATCTGTACTAGTCTTATAATCTCATGCAATTTTAGAGCATCCATATGACCACTTTAGTGGTTAGTTTGGCTATATGGGGCAAGTTTTAAAAATGGGTTGGTATGGGGCTTTCATGTGGCTAGCCCACACCAACCCATTTGGCTCGCCACATATAGCGAGTAAGTTGGGGGATTGCTAGTCGTCTATATTTCTCTCTTTAAAATAAATTAAAATATAATATAAGTAGTTAGTTCAGTCAACACCATATCTTCTGATTGAACTGGCTACTTTAGTAATTAGTCTATAATTCTTAATACTTGCAAAAGTGGATAGTCAAATTTGACTCTTCATGCGAGATACTCTTACATTTCTTTGTTGGGTGCCCATTGATGTACTCTACGATCCCTTAAGCATGATAGAGAAGAATGCAATGATATGATATCTGGATCTTTAATGAGGAGGTGTTTTGACTCTCTATGCTGATTGAATAAGTGCACTATGTTTCCTAAACTTTTAGAACACAAAAATTGTAGTTTCATTAAGTTAGAACCAATAAAGTTACAGATGGCATAGAAGCCAAGTTGTTTTAATTACACAGGAGTTTCAATTTGTGCTTTATATAAAATTTATTTTCAAGAACAAACATTTCTACTTTAAAGTTACCAAAAGAATTGAGATGTGTCATTGGTAAGTGAAGTATCTTTTGAATACTGTGCTCCAATTAGGGATGGAAGTTGGGCAGGTCCAACCTAGTCTCATCCCAACCCAGAAGTCAGGTTGAGTTGAGCCGACACGAGGTCAACCCAAATCTGGGCTCCAAATAACCCGAGCCTGAATAATTTTGGGCTGAACGGGTTTACCCAGCCTAAAAATTTTTGGACCTGGGGAGTCCCAATATAGAGAATTTGATATTAGTCCATGTAAGCATCTGCAATATATTTTACTTTTTTTATAGGGAAAATTCCTGTATAGTCGTACTTTTTAAGTCCAAAGACAATTAAGTCCTAAATTTTATTTTTTTTGGACAAACAAGTCCTACTTTTATAATTTATTTCCAAATCAGTTCAAATTTATTTTATTTTCCAACATTACCCTTATATGGCCACTGACTTTCCTTTTTTATTCTTTCGGTCTCTCTCCTCTTTCCTCTCTGTTTCTCTCTCTAAGGCTATGTTTGGTAGGGTGAGTTTGAAGGGGGAGGATAACATTAGTTACGACGGAAAGGGAAGGGAAGGGAAGGGAAGGATAAGTTTAATCTTCAATCGTGTTTGGTTGATTAACGAAGGAAAAGAAAGGGAAGAATAACAATCATGTTTGGGAAAAGAAAAGAAAGGGAAGGATAATAATAAATTTACTATTATGTCCTTTTATATTTTAAAAGATGAATTTTGAGATTTTAATATGCAACAACATTTTTGCCCCAAGAGGAGTCGGCTCAAGTAAAAGTGGAGGAGGCTCTACTTTAAGTAGAGGAGGCTCCAATATGAGTAGAGCAGGCTCCCAAAAATGGGAGGCGGCCTCCTTTCAAGAAAAATTGTTCTGGGAACCAATTTTAGCTACTAGAATGAAGATCAAGTGTGTGTTTTTTTTTCCTTTCAGTTTCCATCGCTGTTCCAGTTCGGGTTCGCCGTCGCCATCCGCCTCAAAAAATCAAAACCCACATCTTTTAGTTTCCATCGCTATTCCAGTTCGGGTTTGCCATCTGCCTCAAAAAATCAAAACCCAAATCTTTCAGTTTCCATCGCTGTTCTAGTTCGGGTTCGCCGTCCGCCTCAAAAAATCAAAACCCACATCTTTCAGTTTTCATCGCTGTTCCAATTCGAGTTCGCCGTCCGCTGTTCGTAAGCTTCCCGCGCTAAATACATGTTCAATATCAAGTGCAATTTTGAGGGTAAAAGTGGCGTGACAAATATTATATGAGCCATTGCCTTCCCTTTCCTTCCTTATCCTCCCATTTTTGGAAGGTTAAAGAAATTACTGTACATTGTTACGAAGAACCCATCCAAACCTTCCCTCTCCTTCCCTTTCCCTCCACTCACCTTACCCAAACACAATTTTTTCATAACCCTCCGTCACCTTCCCTTCCCTTTCCCTTCAAACTCACTCTACCAAACTGAGCCTAAACTGTCATGCCGTCCAAGCCACCAGAGGAAGAAGAGACCGAGCTGCGCTGATTGTATTGGTTGTTGATTGTTAATTTGATGAGTTGAGGATTGTGCGCAAGAAAGTATAGAAGGGTGGTACCAGAAAAGGAGATCAGTTTACTTGCTTGTCTACTCTTCTTCTACTGATGCTGCTACTCTTATAGTTGGAGATTAGTCCATGTTTGGCAATTGGCTTTAACAAATTCCACCATAGTTTTATGTGCAACTTTAAAGCATAGAAAATGAAAATGAAATATTGAGTTTGATTTGATCTGAGAGAGGTGAATTTTCATCTTTTAGGGTTTGGATCTAAGAACGGTGGTATGACATCGTTGCCTGTTGAACAGACCGGCGAATCGGCTGCCGCGGCGGCGGCGTCTGATTCTCAGAGATCAATCCTTACGTCGTTCCTCACCAAAACCCATCAACTCGTCGAGGATTCGTCCATCGACGACTTCATCGGCGGCGGCGGTGGCGTTTTTGATTTGTTGATATGTATACTGTTTTGGTTGAATTTGTTGTTTTTATTTTGGGTTTGGATTTTTAGGGATTTAAAAAGGTCGTGCCTGATCGGTGGGAATTTGCGAATGAATGCTTCCGGAGAGGTGAGAAGCTGCTTCTCGAAGACAACTATTAATAGAGGAAAGTTTAGAGAGAAACATAGAAGTGAGAAGAGAGGAGAGACCCGGAAGAAACCCAAAAAAAATAAAAAATCAGCGGCCCATACAACGTCAATTCTCATGTTTGTAGATGATTGGTACTTTAATAGTAAGGGTAACATTGGAAAATAAAATAATTTTGAACTGATATGGAAATAAATGGTAAAAGTAGGACTTATTTGTCCTCTTAAAATTTTTTAGGACTTGATTGCCTTCGGACTTAAAAAGTAGGACTAACAAGAAAATTTACCTTTTTTTTTTATATGCAATAAGAATTTATAAATGAGGTGCATTTGCTGGATGAAAGATTATATAAAAGAACACATAAATGAACAAAGTAGATCTCCAAGCAGTCCAATAACAAGTTGAATCAATAGAAATTACCCAACAGAAACGATGAAATTATTGTAAATTTTGCAGTCCAACATTACAGATTTCAATACAGAATTGAGGATATTAACAACAAAAAATGAATTACAAAAGCCACACAAAAACACATGGATTCTTCGTGAAGTTAATGATCATCTAGAATTGTGATTGAAGGTGATCAATGACGTTCTTGTCCACCTGGAAAGCCTTTGCTAGAACATCATCAGATATAGATGGATTTGATCCAAACACGGCATTGGCGACAGTGATGACACCAGGGTTCTGGCTGCTCAAAGCAGAGAGCGAAACAGCAGTTCCGTGACCAACATTTTTTTGGAAGTGAGGAAGTCCTAGTGGGAAGACAAACACATCACCCATTTGAAGGACTTTTGAGATAAACCGGTTTTCTGGGTTGGAGGTCACAAAGCCAACCTCAAGGCTGCCTTCTAAAACTGTCAGTACCTCAGTGGCACGAGGGTGCATGTGAGGAGGAATAAGACCCCATGGTGCATAGTCTAAGCGTGCCAAAGCGATGCCAAGGGTGTTCAGGCCAGGTAATTGTGCCACTGTAACGGGTGTCACCCTAGAGCCAAGGGGGTTCGAGGTGTTGCCAGCAATATGGAGGCCACTGAAGGAGAAATGACTAGCTTGGACAAGCTTAGAGTCCAAGCAGGCAAGGCCATTAACTCTAGCTGAAAAATTGCACAAAACACATGAGAAACAAATGCCAAATCAAAGGCTTCAATTGGATTGGAGAAAAATTAATAAGAAGCTGAATGATATATAATGTAATATATAGCTGACAGAAAGTTAAAACATGTTCATAAGTAATAACAATGTCCCAACCTGAACTAGAAGAATCTGCAACACAGAAATCCTGCAAAGGGCTAGGCTCAAAAGCCAATGAAAGAGTGCAAGTGATTGCCACCAAAGTTAATAGCAGAATGTGGCTTGCCATTTTACTCCGCCTGATTCTCCTGTAGTAAATACTTAAGTAAAGAAGAAGATACTGGAAAGCAAATTGCTAAGAGACTTGAGGACGTGAAAAACAACCGTATGGGCTCGCTCTATATATAGAAGATGGAAGTGTTTGATGTTTTTGGATTATATAAAGAAGAAGTCAATAGTGGGATAATCTGTATGGCACATTCAAGCCTAGCCGGCAGGCATGAAATACTCACCAATTCTGACGTGTTAAACATATGAATCGAATTCAGTGAGTTAAAATATAATGGTGCAGTCCAAGAAACTTACTTGGTCAAAGTATCAACATCTTGGACCAACATATTGGAAGAATGCAATATATAATTTCTGCTACTCCCCACCCTTATAATCTCTTATTCTTAAGCTAGGCTAAGCTTAACATCATTCTACGTGTACTAGGAACATCTCATCAAGAGGCATGATTGCGCAGGCCTGAAATTGGGGCTTGAGTTTGCTTTTGGTTCCAGAAATGCCTTCTAATAATAGGTTTGGCATACTAATTCCCGCCTCCACATACGAATTTAGGCTTAATATGACATTCAAAGAAAATAGAATATCATGTAAGAAGAATGATCGGACCATGATATATTGTTTTGGAAATATCTGACTGTTGAAGCAGTAAAAACCGTCATTTTATGTTAAATGAAGAAGATAAAAAAAGAAAGAAAGAAAGAAAGAAAGTAAATTCCTTTTTACACTGATGATCACAACTATGATAACAACTAACCTTTCCCACGATGACAAATAATATTATCATTTAGAAGACATTATGTTTCTTAACAAGTACAAAGTATGGATAACAACTAAGTACAGATTTTGTCTTTCACCAGTACAATAATAGGCCGGCATGACATATTTCGAAACAGTTCAAAATTTGAATTTTGTCTCTCTATTTCTGTAAGCATCAAGAACCTATTAGGGTGCACCATATTATATATTATACTTGGTTGATAGATTCAAGTTTAGTTTAAGCAGTATCAGTGATACCTTTTTTTCCTAGTTGGTATTCACACACACTTGTCTCTTCTAAGACTTGAACCCTTGACCTCCCTTTGGGAAGTAAAAGGCTGATATCGTTAAGCCACTGGTTCGTTGCTAAATAAATATTTGTCTGAGCCCGGGTTTCGAACCGATATCAGTGGTACCTTTCATACACAAAGTCAGAAACTATGTTCTGTCACTAGGCTCTTTGTAGTCTGGTACTTTATCTTCATTAGATCTATGCTAGATTCATTACAAGAAGTTACATATAGAACTTGTTGAAACAAAACAGCCCCAAACGCATAACATCAGGACAAGTCCATTATGTTTCCCAAATTCTTTGAACACAAAAATTGTAGTAGTTTAATTTAGTTAGAACCATAAAATTAGACCCATAAAAATTACGGATGGCATAGAAGCCAAGTTCTTTTAAGGAGTTCTAATTTGTGCTTAATTTAAGAAATTCTTGTCAAGAACATGCACTTCTACTTAAAAGCTACCAAAGAGTTGAAATTTGTCATTGATAAGTGAATATCTTTCGAATGTATGAGTCCCACAGCATTTTTTAATGTACCATCATATAAAAAGTTTGAGATTGGTCCATTTCAGTGTCTGCAATATATTACACTTTCTTTATATGCAATTCAAATTTGGATCTGAACTGCATTTGCTGGACTAGGCATTTAGATTATAGAGTTATGAAGGCCATTGTATAGAAGAAGAGCAACAGACAGTGAACTGGCTAACCTTTGAACATGCATTCAAAGATTAGAAGTTCACCATGTGTTGTTCCTACCCATGACTTATACTGCATTGCATTTCACTGATTCAAACATTTAGCATTTCAGATATTATTGGATGAATTGCATAGAGATGCATGGTAATTACATATGCATAAGATGCAACCATTTCATCCAACTGTGCTCAACGCTTAAAGTAGATGAAGCCAACAAATGAAGGATGAAAGGTAAGATAAAATAGCATACAAATGACTGGCTCTGCAGGTTCACTAACTTGCGCCATTTTTAACAATCCTTTTTTATTATAACTGAAAGTTCTAATTCTAGTCATTCTAAAGATATACGTGTGGTTGGAGTGCACAAAATAGGATTCTGATGGTTGGATAACCTAACAAAGAAATTTTGGTCACATTATGGTTCAACAATGCATAGATGAAATTTGAAAATCCAAATGTTAGACAACTGGATCTCTAAAGTAGGTCTTAGACTTAGTCTGACTGAATTCATTTTAGTCCAGACTTAAAGGTATACTGGAATCTGATATACCCAACTGTAGCTAGAAACTAGTCAACTGGATTGTTTGAAATCAGAGTTCCAGGTAATACTGGAATCTAATATAGTCGACTGTTTTTCTGAATAGAGGGATGCCAGCGTCGCTAACAGTCGAGCTACGTGTCAGCAACTTATTGGCTGCTGACTTTTGTTAATTTTTTTATTCTCAATGTTTTGTGCCGGTGCCTTTTAGTTTACTTTTTTATTTTTATTTTTTGGTTCTTCTGTCGGTTCTTTTCTTCTCTCTCTCCCCCTTCTCTCTTTCTCTCTCTATGTCCAAGTTACCGGCGGGCGGTAAGGTCGATGGAGCAGAGCTGATCTGGGTGAGGGAAACACAAAGACAAAAACAAAAACACACACAGTGATTTGTGACTGAGAGATCCGAGATCCCATACACACTGAATTCTTCTTGATTTTCTCTTTTCCCCCCTCTATAACATCCCGCTTCTTCTGTATCCCTTTCTGTAAATCATCTGTCTTTCAATGTTTATTATTTTTTGGGTTAGTTTTTTTTGGGTGATTTTTTAAATGAACAACAAAAAGCAAACTTAGAAACAATTTTAAATTTTCAAGAGAGCCAGGTGTTTTTAGAACAGAGATCCAGTTTTTTTCAACAAAAAGCAAACTTACCGCCTCTCTCTCCTCAATCTCCACCGTCCGATGAATCAGCCGTCAATCGGCTCATCGGCGCCGAGACCCATCACATGCCCACCCAAATCAGCTCCGCTCCATCAACCTTACCACCCGCCAGTACCTTGGAGAAGGGGGAGAGAGAGAAGAAAAGAACCGACAGAAGAACGAAAAAATAATAAAAAGTAAACTAAAAGGCACCGGCATAAAACACTGAAAATAAAAAAATTAACAAAAGTCAGCAGCCAATAAGCTGCTAACACGTAGCTCGACTGTTAGTGACTGACGTTAGCATCCCTCTTTCTGAATATTTCCCTAGTACAGTAGTTGATGAGACAGTTGTCAAACCAGTCTCCAACCGACACTGAAATTGGCCTTGCAAATCTCAAAGAAGGAAATCGGGAGCAAAATCACACACTTGGAGACATAAAAGAAACAAGAACTAGTCGACTGGATCTGTGTTTCAAATTTAGGGAAGCTACTGGAGTTCACTTAGTCGACTACATATGGAAACTAGTCGACTAGATTAATTTAGCTTTCTTAGTTGGAGCACTGTTTATCCACTTAGTAGACTGGTCTAAGGAGTTAGTCGACTAGATCATGTGAAATATGAATATTTGAGACATTTGTGGCTTAAACATGCGTTTGATCAATCTTGAGATCAACTAAAGCTTTATAGAGTGAGTCACGTGAGTTCAAAGCATAAGTCAATGGATCAAAGGACCTTTAAATGATACATTTCATTTCAAGTGTGGGTCTTAGAGTCGACTAAGTCATGAGTTGAGCTTTCAAACTAATTATTTCAAAAATAACTTTACAAGACAAATGAATGCTCACCAATGACTAAACTAGCCAAGTCTCGATCTTCAATCTTTAAGCTTTGGATCCATCATCGTATGGCTTGAATCAACTCTGTCATTGATCTTGAATCACTCGAGTCAAACAAATATAAATATCCTGTTGATAAACACACTCAAGTATAATATTAAATTCACATATAATGGTTTGTTCTAATCAAATTTATTCAAATACCCTTGGAATGAAACTTTGGAGTTCCACTTTTTATGATGACAAATTACTAATATGTTTATAAAAATAATAGAAATCATTGAAAATGCTACCCCTATCAAATTCACAATTTGGGGTTGCTCCCCCATCAATATGCTTAAAATGAATATTAAAATTGCGCATTTTTCAAATCTAGCATATTTTCATTTCAACTCATATAGACAGTAATGTTCAACTGAACAATCTCAATTATATCACTAAGACAAGAATGATGCAAATTTGTCAATTCATATAAGATATCCATTCATTTAAATAACACAAATATTTTCATAAAGTCAATATGCCATAAAATATATTCACCATCATACTAAAGTCAGCATCAAAAGAACCCAAATAGCATTCACATGAGTCAGTGTGACAACATGTCCCATAAAAACAACGAAAATACCTAAATAGTCAATAAAACCACAAAGTATCCAAACAACAACATATCAAGTCAACAGAAATATCCTAAGATAAGAACCACCACATCAACAGACTACATTCTCCCCCCTTTGTCATCATAAAAAATACCAGACATGTAGAATCAAGGCTGATGAGGAGTAATACCCAAGTAATCTCTAAGATCATCCGATCCCCTCTCTGTTGTCTCGAGACCGGTAGCTAGGTCTGTTACACGAGTGTTTAGGCAAGGCTGACTAGGAGTAATTCCCAAGAAATCTCTAATATCATCCAATCCCCTTTCCATAATCTCGAGACTGGTAGCTAGGTCGCCTATATGAGTGTCCAGGCATATATTGCCACCCAAATTAGTAAAGCCTCCTCTCAACTCGAGAAGAGAGAGCAACCACGGCATCAATCAACTGGCCAAGCAACAAAATGCTCTCGGAAGGCTGCTGTTGTTGAGATGGTCCAGTGGGGCCTGCTGGAGGAGTAATATTAATCTGCTGCTCAAACTCCTCCTCACCACCACCAGCCCTTTCTGCCTCTATCTCCTGTACTGACTTCTTCACCCAATTGCCCCGCCCATCTTGCTTGAATTTCATTTGTTTCAAGGTCGTTAATGTGAAACGGTCAGAGGGAGCTACCTCTCTCTGGTCTGCCTCAAACTCTAATGGCACCTCAAAAATGCTTAGAGCAATCCCATAAGGGAGGATAGAGCCCTGCCTCTCGTGACAATCCCACATATGATGGAAAATGAGGAAAGGGAGACTCATTCGTTTACCATTGAGGACACACCAGATGATGAAGATGTCCATAAGGCTAACGTTAGTCCTACTGCCCCCTGGGGGTAAGATAGCATATCCAATGACAGAATGGATGAGCCTGGCCTCTAAAGTAAGTTAGCTTGCAGAGGGTTTAAATTGGTCAGAAATTGTGGGATCCCCACAAATTTTCCTAAGTGCCTCTAATGGATTGAATTCTTTGTATAGGGCCAAATCATTGGAAACATTAAATTTTAAATCCCCTTCTGGGACTTTTAGTATGGTGGCAAGGGTTGAAACATTGAACCTAATTTTCTTCCTTTGACAGTGGATTCTAGGGTATTATTTTTTTCTTCTTTGAATTCAAGATGTGTATAGAAGATCTTGACTAAAATGCGGTAGTAAATTCGGTCCAATTCAAGAAAAGTGTGCCACCCAATAGTCTTAAACAAGTTAAAAATACAGAAGCCATTCTCAGTACAGAAGGAGGAGGCGAGAACTTTACCACAGATGAGTGTTCGGAGCATGAAGTCCGTCGTGTACCGCTTCTCGTAGTCGGAATTCACGAAGAGAAAGGGTTCGTCATCAGGAGAAACATCATTCCTTTGCTTAGACCGTTTATCATTTTTTTGATCCACCAATATTATGGGTCTCTTGTCTTTGGATTGAGATCCGTCTTCACGAATTCTAGCCATTGTAGATGTTTGGGAAGTGATTGGAAGTTTGGAGAGGATTTATGGATGTCTGGGAATGATTAAAGGAGGTTTAGATGGAATAGATAAAAGACTGGGAGAGGCATGTTGTGTTGCTGTGGCTATTGGAGTGTGAAGTGTGAACATAGTCTCAACTCTCAACTCTCAACTCTCGTGAGTCTATATATAGTGAAACAGACTTGTTTTTAAATGAAAATATTACTCCGAAAAAAAAAAAAAAAAAAAAAAAGTTTAATTTCAATAACCTTGCTTGTCTAGATTTTTGTAATGTATTAGACTATTATCTTACCATTTTACACTTTTACTCATGAATTTGTGTATATAATATATTGTCATTTCATATATTAAAAAGGCAGTACTGATATTCTATTAATTTTCTCTCGCTAATATCAATTTGTTATATAAATTAGAATCAAATAAGTGGGATGACAAAATTCAAGAAGGGAAGTAAAATTTATCCTATTAAAAAGTGGCTTGAAATAAAAGAAGTTCTTTTTTGTTCTCAGAGCTTGAAATAACTAGCCAATTAGTCGTACTTTATATCTAAATAAGTTGGGCTAAATTTATTGTTTCCGACTCCAATAAAGTGTCCAATAATAATTCTTATATAATGATCAAAAAGATTGACTTGAAAGCCCATGGATACTATGAAAATAGAACTTTTGAATCTTAAATTATGGAGAAGTTCACTATTTGATATAATAGAGATCGATACATGGTAAGTGAAATTCCAACTTCAAGATCGGCGAGCATAATGAAACCAATCGATCTCATCGAGCACAAAGAGCTAGGGTTTGTAATATTGTGAAACGAAGAGAGAGAAGAGCATAGAGAGCGACTAATGAGTGACCTTATTTTGAGGCACTTTCAAATTGGCCTAAGTCCTAAAATTTGGCCTAAACATAGTGCCAAAACAGACCTTATTTTTTTTTTCGTTTTTTTTTTTTTTTTTTCTCGGAGAGTCTTGATTTGCCTTAGCTATCAGTTGCGAATCTGACAATTCTTGATTTGTTTGGGGTTGGGCTATATTCGTTGTACTTGCTTTGTGTAGGCCTTAATTAGGCTTGTAGTTGTCCCATTATTTTGGGCTTCTTTAAGTTTGTATGTTTTAAATTTGAGGCCCATATCGACATTTTGTTGTAGACTTGTAATGTAAGGTGGGCCAAAAATTGAGGCCTTCTAATTTTGGAGGCCCTTGGTCACCTTGGGCCAGGGCCTGCCCTAGAGCATAACTCCACAGTCCACTTGGTTGTGTTTTCTTCTTTCTCCTTATTCCCTTCTTTTATAAATCGATTTAGTTATGTGGATAAATGTTGTAATTCGTCACTTTAATTCGTTAATCACTGTGTTTTACGGGACAATTTGCTTGTAAATTTTCATATAATAAAACCAAAATAAAGCAACTATTTTGACAAATAATACAAAAATATAAAGCAAGTATTTAGAAGAAGCTTATTAACATTCCAAAAGATTTAAAGGGATCTTCAATTTTAACTTGCACATAGTAAAAATGAAAAAAATACATCACAAAAGCAAATGCAATCACCACACAATCAAAATGAATTCTTCGTCATGAACTTGAGCTTCTTTAGAATGTTGATTGAAGTTGATCAATGACTGTCTTGTCCACCTGGAAAGCCTTTGCAAGAACATCACCAGATACAGATGGATTTGATCCAAACACGGCATTGGCGATAGTGATGACACCAGGATTCTGGCTGCTCAAAGCAGAGAGCGAAACAGCATTTCCATATCCCACATTTCTTTGGAAGTGAGGAAGTCCTACTGGGAAGACAAACACATCACCCTTTTGAAGGACTTTTGAGATGAACCGGTTTTCTGGATTGGAGGCCACAAAACCAACCTCAAGGCTGCCTTCCAATACTGTCAGTACCTCGGTGGCACGAGGGTGCATGTGAGGAGGAATAAGACCCCATGGTGCATAGTCTAAGCGTGCCAAAGCGATGCCTAGGGTGTTCAGGCCGGGCAATTGAGCCACTGTAACCGGTGTCACCCTAGAGCCAAGGGGGTTCGAGGTGTTGCCAACCAAATGGAGGCCACTGAAGGAGAAATGACCAGCTTGAACAAGCTTAGAGTCCATGCAGGCAAGGCCATTAACTCTTACTGTAAAGTTGCACAAAACAAATGTCAAATATATATAAGACAAATATGAAACTGAATGACATATAGCTGACAAAAAGTTTGAACATGTTAATAAGTTATAACAAATGTCACAACCTGAACTAGTAGCATCTGCAACACAGAAATCCTGCAAAGGACTTGGCTCAAAGGCAAATGACATGGTGCAAGTGATGGCAAGCAAAGTTAATAGCAGAACGCGGTTTGCCATTTTACTCTGTCTGATTCTCCTGTATACTAATATACTTATAGTAAAGAAGAAGATGCTGGGAAGCAAATTGCTAAGAGGACTTAGGGATGTGAAAAACAACTGTATAGGCTGTCTCTATATATAGAAAGATGGAAGTGGTTAGTGTTTTTGGATTATATGAAGAAGAAGTCTATAACGGGATAATCTGCCGATTGAAATCCATACTTATATCAGAAGGTCTGGCATCTGGCACTAAATACTCAGCAATTTAAACATATGAATCCAAATCAGTGTGATAAAATATAATGCTGCAGTCCAAGAAACTTACTTGGTCAAAATATCAACATCATGTACCAACATATTGGAAGAATGCAATATATGATTTATGCAACTTCCCACCATTATAAACTCTAGTTCTTAAGCTAGGCTAGTCTTACACCCTTCTACAGTTATTAGACATATCTCATTAAGAGGGAAATTATCCTCACCTTAGAGTGCAGGAGACCCTTTTTTTTAAATAAAAAAAAATTATTATTATTATCTTTTTATGATTGCAGTTGGCTGAAAATGGGGTTTGAGTTTGTCTTTGGAAATATTGCTAGAAATGTCTTCTAATAGGTTGGCATACTATTTCCCGCCTCTGCATTCCAAGAAAATATTATGTCAGAAGAATGATAGCACTATTCTAAATGGTGTTTGGAAATATCTAACTGTTGAAGCACCAAAAACTGAATTTTTATGTCAATGAAGTCCTTTTCTGCACTAGTGATCACAAGTACGATAACAACTAATCTTCCCCATGATGACAGATAATATTACTATTTATTTTACACCTCAAATTAGGTTTGTTCTGGTTCTGTCTGATTATATATACTTGTTGGTTTCACTGATTTCTAGAACCTATAGTCCGTAGAGAATACAAAAAATCCCAAAGACATGCCTCAGCACCCCTACTCTGGACATGGAATACCAGGGTAACTTCCAATATATAATACAACCAGTACATATTAGTATACCTTATATGCCTTGAATAATTGAAGAATTTAGTGTTTTGATGGCCCTTAAAATCGACGAGCTTTTAAAATTTCCCAGTTATTGCCCTAGTTTGTCACTGATAAAATGGAGAAGGATCTTCCACTGCAACTTCGAAACAATTCTAAAGCAGTGAAAAATTGCAATTGAATTAAAATAATCCAGAAATAAACCTGACAATTTTCCATTTCCAGTCTGGCCTTGAGATCATGTCATCAAGGTATTCAATAATCTTTACTTTATATAAACAAAATTTTCTTTCATGTGCACCTATTAAGCTCTGAAGAGTATGTATCTGCGGTGATTATATAACTACTTTATGTATCGCGGTGGTTTTGGATCAACATAAATGGTTGGTGATTAAACAGCAGCAGAACTTTGGAATTGCATTGATTTGCTTAAGGATAAAAATATTTTTCATGAAGAGAGACCTGTGTTAGATTTTTTGATGCTAGGCTCATTACAAGAAGTTATATACAGAACTTGTTGAAAATAAAACAGCCCCAAACATAAAATAAGGACTATTCTTGTAATTTCTTGTAATCTCGTAGTGATATATATAGTCTATCATTCCAGCAGCATGATAGAGAATAATGCAATGCAATGATATGATATATTGATCTTAAATAAGGAGGTAATTTCAAGTCTCTATGTCAATCGAATAAGTCCATTATGTTATGTTCCCCTATTTTTTTGAACACAAATTAAAATTGTAGTTTCATTTAGTTATAACCATAAAAATTATGGATGGCATAGAAGCCAAGTTGTTTTAGTTACAAAGGAGTTCCCTTTGTGCTTAACTTGAAAAATTCTAGTCAAGGACATACACTTCTACTTAAAATCTACTGAAGAACTGAAATGTGTCATTGGTAAGTGGAACATCTTTTGAATGATACTCCACAGCATTTCCAAACGCTCCATAAATTTGAGATCTGTCCATTTCAGTGTCTGCAATATTTCAGACTTTCTTTATATGAAACTAAAATTCGAAAGTGAAGTGCATTTTCTGGACTAGGCATATAGCTAGAATATAGAGTAGTTATGAACTCCAGAATTAGAGGAAACTGAAAGCTATTGTCTAAAGAACAGCAACAGGCAGTGAACTGGCTAGCCTTTGAACATGCAATTAAACATTAGAAGTTCTTTATCTTGAAGCTGACTTCACCAAGTGTTTTTCTTACATGAGGTCTACGCTGCATTGTATTTCACTGTTAGAATTGATATATAGTTGCGCGGTAGTTATATATACATAAGATGCAACCATTTCATCCAACTTGCTTAACATTTCAGTTGTTTCCTCAACTTATTAATCACTCTGCTGTTCATGGATTGACTACTTGTAAATTGTGATATATCAGGACCAAAAATCAACAGAATGAATGTCCAGGATATCCAAAAACAATACCCCCCCCCCCCCAAAAAAAAAAAAAGAAGGTTGAACCAATATTAATTTTGTAGTCCAATAGAACACCTTTGAATATATATATTTTTTAAAGTAAGAAAACAAAATGAATTACAAAGGTCTCACAAAAACAAATGCAATTACCAGACAATCAAAATAATTCTACATGAACTTGTAGCTGATCATCTAGAATTGTGATTGAAGGTGATCAATGACGTTCTTATCCACCTGGAAAGCCTTTGCAAGAACATCACCAGAGATGGATGGATTTGATCCAAACACGGAATTGGCGACAGTGATGATACCAGGATTCTGGCTGCTCAAAGCAGAGAGCGAAACAGCATTTCCGTATCCCACATTTCTTTGGAAGTGAGGAAGTCCTACTGGGAAGACAAACACATCACCCTTTTGAAGGACTTTTGAGATGAACCGGTTTTCTGGATTGGAGGCCACAAAACCAACCTCAAGGCTGCCTTCCAATACTGTCAGTACCTCCGTGGCGCGAGGGTGCATGTGAGGAGGAATAAGACCCCATGGCGCATAGTCTAAGCGTGCCAAAGCGATGCCAAGGGTGTTGAGGCCAGGTAATTGTGCCACTGTAACGGGTGTCACCCTAGAACCAAGGGGGTTCGAGGTGTTGCCAACAAGATGGAGGCCACTGAAGGAGAAATGACTAGCTTGAACAAGCTTAGAGTCCATGCAGGCAAGGCCATTAACTCTTGCTGTAAAGTTGCACCAAAAAAAAATTTGAGAAACAAATACTAAGGGGGTTCGAGGTGTTGCCAACAAGATGGAGGCCACTGAAGGAGAAATGACTAGCTTCAACCATCTTAGAGTCCAAACAGGCAAGGCCGTTAACTCTTGCTGTAAAATTGAACAAAACAAATGAGAAACAAATTTCAAATCTAAGACTTCAATTGTAAGGCAAATATGAAACTGAATTATATAGAATGTAAAGTAATAACAATGTCACAAACCTGAGCTAGTAGTATCTGCAACACAGAAATCCTGCAAAGGGCTAGGCTCAAAGGCAAATGAGAGAGTGCAAGTGGCAATCAGCAAAGTTAGTAGAAGAACGTGGCTTGCCATTTTACTCTGTCTGATTCTCCTGTATACTAAAATATGTATAGTAAAGAAGAATATGCTGGGAAGCAAATTGCTAAGAGGACTTAGGGATGTGAAAAACAACTGTATAGGCTCTCTCTATATGTAGAAAGATGCAAGTGGTTGGTGTTTTTGGATTATATGAAGAAGAAGTCTATAACGGGATAATCTGCCGATTGAAATCCATACTTATATTGGAAGGTCTGGCATCTGGCATGAAATACTCAGCATTTAAACATATGAATCCAAATCAGTGTGTTAAAATATAATGCTGCAGTCCAAGAAGCTTACTTGGTCAAAGTATCAACATCTTGGACCAACATATTGGAAGAATGCAATATATAATTTCTGCTACTTCCTACCCTTATAACTCTTATTCTTAAAACAGGTTAAGCTTAACACCATTGCAACATCTCATTAGGAGGGATGATTGCACTGCCCTGAAATTGGGGCTCGACTTTTCTTTGGAACTATAGGTTGGCATACTAATTCACACCTCCACCGATACTGACTGTTAATCAAATAATTACTTTTTTAGCCTAGTTTACCTTCATTATATCTATGCAAGATTCATTGCAAGAAGTTACATACAGAACATGATGAAAACAAAACAACCCCAAACACAAAGCATCAGGACTATTCTTTTGATCTCATGCAATCTCATAGTAATGTTCATTTCTTTGTTGATTTTTTTTTTTTTTTTTTTTGGGTAAGTAAATTCTAACTAAATATTTACATGTATGAAGATGATTCGTTTCTTTGTTGGGTTCCTATTGGGTACTCTACCATCCCTACAATATGAATATGATAGAGAAGAATGCAATTAAAAGATATGTTGATCTTAAATGAGGAGAAGTTTCAACTCTGTATGTTAACTGAATAAGTTCATTATGTTTCCCAAACTTTTTGAACACAAAAATGGTAGTTTCATATAGTTATAACCTTGGATGTCATAGAATCCAAGGTTTTTTTTTTTTTTTTTTAATTACAAAGGAGTTCCAATCTGTGTTTCATTTAAAAAAATCTTGCCAAGAACATAGACTTCTACTTAAAAGCTACCAAAGAATTGAAATGCGTCTTTGGTAAGTGAATATCTTTTGAATGTATGAGTCCCACAGCATGTTTACATGCACCATCAACCCATCATATAGAAGGTTTGAGATTGGTCCATTTCAGTGTCTGCAATATCACACTTTCTTTCTATGCAATTCAAATTTGGAACTGAACTGCATTTGCTGGACTAGGCATTTAGATTAGCAGAAACTGAAAGCCATTCTTTAAAAGAACAGCAATAGGTGGTGAACTGGCTCACCTTTGAACATGAACTTAAACATTAGATATCAAAAAGCTGAGTCCACCACGTGTTGTTCCAACCCTAGATCTATGCTGCATAGCATTTCACTGATTCAAACATTTAGCTTCTTGGATATATTAGTAGAATTGTTTATGGATGCGTGGTAATTATGCATGCATAAGACGCGACCATTTCTTCCATTTTGCTTTACATTTAAGTAAATGGAGAAGGAAGAAAGGGTGGATAGAATTGCATATAAATGATAGGTACTGCAGGTTCCATACCTTATGCCATTTAAAACCATCCTTAATTGTCATAATTGAAAATTCTAATTCTAGTCATCTAAAGTTATACATGGGGTTGAGGTGCACAAAATAGGAGTTTCATGGTTGAGTTGGCAAATGAAGAAATTTTAGTCACATTATGTTTAATGGAATGTGTAGATGAATTAATGTTAATGTTGATTTATGTTATAATTGTTCACTTTAATTATTAATCACTCTGTTTTACGCAGACAATTTGCTTGTCAATTTTCAAAAATTGAAACCAAAAATCAGCAGAATGGATCTCCAAGAAGTCCAAAAAAAAGTTGAATCAATATTGACTTACACATAGTAACAATACAAATGGATTACAAAAACTAGCCACACAAAAGCAAATGCAATCACCACACAATCAAAATGAATACTTCATCACGAACTTGAGCTTCTTTAGAATGTTGATTGAAGTTGATCAATGACTGTCTTGTCCACCTGGAAAGCCTTTGCAAGAACATCACCAGAGATAGATGGATTTGATCCAAACACAGAATTGGCGACAGTGATAATACCAGGATTCTGGCTGCTCAAAGCAGAGAGCGAAACAGCATTTCCGTTTCCCACATTTCTTTGGAAGTGAGGAAGTCCTACTGGGAAGACAAACACATCACCCTTTTGAAGGACTTTTGAGACGAACCGGTTTTCTGGATTGGAGGCCACAAAACCAACCTCAAGGCTGCCTTCTAATACTGTCAGTACCCGTTGGCACGAGGATGCATGTGAGGAGGAATAAGACCCCATGGTGCATAGTCTAAGTGTGCCAAAGCGATGCCAAGGGTGTTCAGGCCAGGTAATTGTGCCACTGTAACGGGTGTCACCTTAGAGCCAAGGGGGTTCGAGGTGTTGCCAACAAGATGGAGGCCACTGAAGGAGAAATGATTAGCTTGAACAAGCTTAGAGTCCATGCAGGCAAGGCCATTAACTCTTACTGTAAAGTTGCACAAAACAAATGAGAAACAAATGTCAAATATAAGGCAAATATGAAAATGAATGACATATAATGCAATATATAGCTGACAAAAAGGTCGAACATTTTAGTAAGTTATAAAGATGTGACAACCTGAACTAGAAGGATCAGCAACACAGAAATCCTACAAAGGGCTAGGCTCAAAGGCAAATGACAGAGTGCAAGTGATAGCCAGCAAAGTTAATAGCAGATTGTTATTTGCCATTTTACTCTGCCTGATTCTTCTGTACTAATATACTTGTAGTAAAGAAGAGGAAGCTGCAAAGAAAATTGCTAAGAGGACCGGGGATGTGCAAAAAAACTATATGTGCCCTCGCTATATATAGAAGATTGAAGTGGTTGGTGTTTTTGGATTATATGAAGAAGAAGTCTATAACCAGATAATCTGCCAACTGAAATCCAGACTTATATCAGAAGGTTTGGCACCTTTAAGCCTAGCTGGCCTACATAAAATACTCCAACGCTGATTTTTTAAACCTATCAATTCAGTTCAGTGTTTTAAAATATGATGCTGCAGTCCAAGAAACTTGGTCAGAATATCAACATCTTGGACCAACATATTGGAAGAATGCAATATATAATTTCTGCAGGCTTAACACCATTGTATAGTTACTAGGAGCATCTCATTAAGAGGGAAATTATCCTGACCTTATTTGTGATGTCTGTGTATTTATTGTGTGTGTGTGTAGTGTAATATAAAAGTAAAAGAAAAATAATTTAATGGTGGGGCCCACAAGGCACTTTAGAAAAGGGTCAAGACCATAAAGTTGGTCTCATTTTCCTGATTCCCTTTCTCTCTCTTCGTGCATCTCTCTCTCAACCCGTAAGCTCATTTTTCTCTTATTTTTTGGTTTCAACTTTGAGGTTAGATTTCTCACTCATTTCTTGTTGGAATTAGGTTCCGTTTGAGGCAAAACGAAGCTCGTGTCAAGCTCTATACATCCATACCATCAATTTCCAGTTTTGAGTCTTACTTGGAGCTCGAATTTGAGGACCAATTTTCTAAGGTTTTGGTGCAATCTTGAGGTAGGGGCCCTTAATTCATGAAATCTTGTACCTTAGTGAGTTAATTGTCTCTAATTGTTGTTTAATTTGATTAGTTGTTTAAAATCTAGAGAATTGTTGATATGTATGCATATATGTTAGTTGTGTGACTATATTTGTTGATTGTTCTATGTGAAGCATGTTTAGTACTTGATTATATATGTTCATTGTGCTAGAACTTGTTATGTATAAGCATGTTATGACTTTCTTGATTATTCTTGCGAATTATGCCATGTTGCTTAAATTGGATAAAGTATGGAATGATGAACTTGTGTATGTCATTGAGGTATTCATGCATTAACATTGGGCAGGAAAAGGGAAAGAATTGATTTACTTCAAAAAGGGGAAATTTCGGGAAAGTGTTTTTGATGAAATGATTTTATGCGAAATCCGGTCGCTGCGGGGTTACCAATGGGCCGGAGGTTAATATAGCCTAGAGGGGACTAGGGAGTCGCCCTAGTGTGGTTGAGCTAGCTGGGCCCCATAATGATGCCACGGGGTTATCAAGGGTCAGGGACACTAGCCAATCCTCCTCTCGTGTCGCGGCGGGGTTACCAAAGGGCGGGCTGTATTAACGTTTGAAAGTGATGGTTTTGAGAATGAAAATAGGGAGTGTCATTGACATGCATTGCATTTCATTGCATTGCATTGCATTATTTATAATTGGAATTGAATTGTATGTTATATTTGATCCCCTATGTTGTATGATCCCTATCTCCCATTGGCCTATGCTTTGCTTGAATTCACAAGGACACAAGATTTGTGTCTTAAGTGTCTCTGCTGAGCTATATGCTCACCCCTATATCTATATTTTTTTTTTCAGGTCTTGGAAAAGAACCGGTGGACGACAATCCACCCCAACTTTGAAAGTTGCTAGAGGAGCATTTTCCTTGTTATTTTGTAATAGACTACTCATTTGTTCATCCCTCATTTTTTGTAAAATTTCAAAGGTGTAATGATGTAAATTTCTTTTGAAGAACCATGATCATGTAATACACTTATGATACTTGATGACATATGGGATACGAACTTGATGATATGTAACTTGTTGATGAATGGAAGGATAATCCTAACTTGAAGCATTGTCTAGATTAGTAGGTTGTATCATTATCTTTTGTTGCCGTGAATTCGGAAATTAGTTGCATGACAGGTTAAATATGCATTTAAACAGGTTGCGGTAGGTTCATTTTTAGGGGAGGTTATGCCGAATTTTTTTAAAAAAAAAATTCTTGGCATTAGTTTTGGGATCTTTACAAATTTGGTATCAGAGCAAAGGTTCGAAAACCTTTAGGACGACGGGTAGAGGCCTACATAGAGTCGCATGGGATGTTGTTTGTATTGTTTACTTGACTACTTGCTACGTGGTATCTTATTTAAATGAGCATGCTTAACTGCCTATGTGCTTACTTGTTTATGTTAAAATGTTTTTTGCATAGTCCTACATGCTAAGTGTTGTACGGTATTAATTCTTGTTGAGTCATCCACAGTGGACCTTAGTGTCATGTTTCTGAATCGTTTTCTCGTTTTATAGCACGATGTCACGGCGTGAGGAACCTAGAGAAGTTGGCCCTAGGCCAACAAGGGGCGATGTTGGTGAGAGCTCTAGCTCCAATCCGGTGGAGCCAGTTGATGAGAACATGCTTCTTAGGGACTTGATTCCCCCAAGAGCTGTTCCCCCAAGAAGAGAGAATGTTGAAACACCTGTACCCGTAGAAGTGGGTGAAGGTTCTGTGGCACTAGAGTTGAATCGATTGTTGCAAAATGCCGTGAGAGCAACTATTGTTGCTCAGCCGCAGTTGGTACCACAACCTACGGTTCGAGTTGAGGAGACTCCAGCTCATAAGCGTCTCAAGATCATTAAGGGGTTTTCTCAGCTGATGCCGGTTATGTTTGAGGGCAGTGCGGACCCAATGGTAGCCGACAACTACATGGATCAAGTCGAAACTCAGTTGACCTCAATGGATGTGACAAAGGATCACTTGAAGATCATCCTAGCAACTTACAAGTTTGCTATGGATGCCAAGGTTTGGTGGAAGTCGATCACTAACCAGTATAAGATTGAAGAGATGAGTTGGGACAGGTTCAAGGAACTGTTTTATGAGAAGTACTTTCCGTTTTCCAAAAGATGGGAGTTACAAGACCAGTTTCATAATCTTATTCAAGGGAACATGTCAGTGGCGGAGTATGAGAACAAGTTCACCTCACTCTCCCGTTTTGCTCCAGAAGTGGTGAGAGATGAAGCTAACAAGACTCGGAAGTTTGTCTCGGGTCTTAATGATCGAATGAGGCCGTTGTTCACGGCACAGTTTATTAAGGTTTACTCTGAAGTAGTGGAAAGGGCTTTGATGCTGGAGGCTGACAATAGAGAGAAGGATGCAAGAAGAGAGCAATTGAAGCAAAAGAGGGGTGCAGGGCCATCCTCAGAGGGATCTTCTTGGAAAAGGAATAAGGGCAGTCCATCTCAGTTTCAGGGGCAACAGTCTACAAGATCTGCTCCTACCACTCCTATGCCAGCTGGACCTGACAGGAGTGCAGTTGTTTGTTATCAGTGTCAGCAGCCCGGACATTACAAGTCCAGTTGTCCGATGAGATCGTCTTCAGTTTCGTCAGCTCCGAAGGCTTGTTATGGGTGTGGCCAGCATGGTCACTTGATTCGTGATTGTCCGGGTCAGAGAGCAGGCACCATTAGTGGCAGAGGGTCACAGCAGAGGCCGTCACAATCGGCTACAGTTCAGTCAGGTTTCAGACCACCACCACCACAGCCTACTATGTCTTCACAGGGTTCACGATCAGTTAGGAGTGATACTCCTACTATGTCAGTGCAGCAGTCAGGTGTTCAGGTTGGCAGTCCTCAGGCACAGGTACCACAGGGACGTGTTTTTGCACTGGCACAGACCGATGCATCTTCTGGACCGTCAGTTCTTCGAGGTATATTTCCAATGTTTGGTTGTTGGGCCCGTGTTTTGTTTGACTCTGGTGCATCTCATTCTTTCATTTCATCATCATTTGCACTTGCATCGGGGTTAGAGGTTAGTTTCATGGATCGGGCGTTATGTGTTGATACGCCAGTTGGGGTTTCAGTGTTATTGAGCCGAGTTGTGCGGGATTGCTCCATTGTGATAGCCGGGCGGACCTTTGTGTTTGACCTTATCCTCCTGGAGATGACTAGCTTTGATGTCATTCTCGGGATGGATTGGTTGGCTTCATTTCATGCCACGATCGACTGTTACAGATGAAGGGTTACAGTTTGCACTCCCGAGGGAAACTGTTTCTTTTTCGTGGGAGATCGGAGTGATTCCCACATTTCATCGTTTTATGGAGTTCGTAGACGAAGTCATGGTGATTATTTCTTAGCTAGTCTTCTAGCCGAAGAAGATGATGTCGTGGAAGAAGTTTATCCGGCGATTGTTTGTGACTTCTTGGATGTTTTTCCAGAAGATTTGACAGAGTTGCCTCCACACCGAGAAGTGGAGTTCACTATTGATTTGATGCATGGTATTGCGCCGATTTCTATGGCACCAGTTGAATTGGAAGAATTGAAGAGGCAGCTTGATGATTTGAGGATGAAAGGTTTCATCCGACCGAGTGCGTCACCGTAGGGTGCACCGGTCTTGTTTGCTAAGAAGAAAGATGGTTCGTTGAGGTTGTGCATTGATTATCGGAAGTTGAATCATGCCACCATCAAGAACAAGTATCCTTTGCCAAGGATAGATGATTTATTTGATCAGTTGAGGGGAGCCAGTTGTTTCTCGAAGATTGACTTGAGGTCTGGCTATTATCAGTTGCGGGTTAGGGATGAGGATATCCCGAAGACAGCATTCCGTACACGGTATGGACACTATGAGTTCCTTGTTATGCCTTTTGGCTCGACTAATGCGCCAGCGGCATTCATGGACTTGATGAACCGCGTCTTTCACGATTACTTGGACCAGTTTGTGGTAGTTTTCGTGGATGACATTCTTGTGTACTCACGGACTCGGGAAGATCACGAGGTCCATTTGAGTATTGTTTTACAGATTTTGCGGGAGCACCGATTGTATGCCAAATACGAGAAATGTGAGTTTTGGCTACAGGAGGTGAAGTTTTTGGGGCATGTTGTTTCAGAAGGTGGAGTATCAGTTGATCCATCAAAGGTTGAAGCAGTTTTGACTTGGGAGCGACCCAAGAATGTGTTTGAGATCCGCAGTTTCCTTGGTTTAGCGGGTTACTATCGGAGATTTGTGAAGGATTTCTCCCGTTTGGCAGCTCCTATGACCCGTTTGACCCGGAAAGGGGTCAAGTTTGTCTGGAATGAGGCCTGTGATTCATCTTTTCAGGAGTTGAAGACGAGATTGACTACAGCTCCAGTGTTGGTGATACCTGAGCGTGGCTTGGGTTATGTAATCTATTGTGATGCTTCACGTGACGGGTTGGGATATGTGTTGATGCAGGATGGTAAAGTAGTGGCTTATGGGTCTCGACAGTTGAAGACTCACGAGTACAACTACCCTACTCATGACCTGGAGTTAGCGGCAGTTGTATTTGCCTTGAAGTGTTGGAGACATTACTTGTATGGTGAGAGATTCGAGGTATTTTCAGATCACAAAAGTCTCAAGTACCTTTTCTCCCAAAAGGACTTGAACAACAGACAGAGGTGATGGGTCGAATTCTTGGAGGACTACAATTTTGACTTGCAGTATCATCCGGGCAAGGTGAATATGGTAGCGGATGCTTTAATCCGGAAATCTCGTGGAACTTTGGCCAGTTTAGCTATTCGGAAGTGGAAGATGCTTGAAGATCTGGCAGAGATAGGATTACAGTGTTGTGATGATGATGCTTGCAGTGAGTCGGCATTCTTATTTAGTCTTGTGGCTCAGCCTACTCTTGTTGTACGAGTGATTGAGTCACAGAGACAGGACCCGGACTTAGATGCCATCCACGCTTTGATCTCTAGTGGTGAGACAGTGAAAGATTGGGTCTTGCATGTAGATGGGGGTCTACGGTTCAGGGGTTTGTTGGTGGTTCCCACATGTTGTCGTGAGGACGTCCTACGGGAGTTTCACACTTCCCGCTTTGCAGTTCATCCAGGTGGTACTAAAATGTATCACAATTTGAGACGTCAGTATTGGTGGAGCGGGATGAAGAATGATGTTGCACAGTTTGTGGCTAGATGCCTTACCTGTCAGCAGGTGAAGGCCGAGCATCAGAGGCCAGCAGGTTTGTTGCAACCATTACCTGTAGCGCAATGGAAATGGGAGCATATTGCTATGGATTTTGTGACAGGTTTTCCAAGGTCAAGAAGGGGCAATGAGGCCGTATGGGTCATCATTGACAGATTGACCAAGACGGCTCACTTTTTGCTTATTAAGGCAACAGATGATGCAGAAAAGCTTGGTGTTCTTTATGTGAAGGAGATTGTAAGGTTGCATGGAGTTCCTGTAACCATTGTGTCAGATAGGGATGCTAAGTTCACTTCGAAGTTCTGGGAAGGACTTTAAGTAGCGTTTGGTTTAGCGTTGCATCTTAGTACGGCATTCCATCCACAGACGGACGGTCAGTCGGAGCGTACTATCCAGATTTTGGAGGATATACTTCGGGTATGTGTGCTTGACTTGGGTGGTAGTTGGGAGGATCACCTTCCACTTATTGAGTTTGCCTACAACAACAGTTATCAAGCGAGTATCCAGATGGCTCCATTTGAGGCGTTGTATGGTAGACCTTGTAGGTCTCCTGTTTGTTGGACTGAGGTAGGTGAGACAGCCGCCTTAGGACCCGACATTGTACTCGAGACTACTGAGAAGATTAAGTTGATAAGACAGAGGTTACTTACAGCTCAGAGCCGACAGAAGAGCTATGCGGATAAGCGGAGACGACCGTTATCCTTTGAGGTGGGAGACCACGTTTTTCTACGGGTTTCTCCACGGAAGGGATTGATGAGATTCGGAAAAAGTGGCAAGTTGTCGCCACGATTTATTGGACCGTTTGAGATTTTGGACCGAGTAGGAGAGGTTGCCTACAGGCTTGCTTTGCCACCACAGTTGGATAGGGTCCACAATGTTTTCCATGTATCGATGTTACGGAAGTACGAACCGGATCCATCTCACATTTTGAGTTGGGTAGATGTGGACATTGATGAGGATGTTTCCTACGAGGAAGGATTAGTTTAGATTCTTGACACACAACAGAAGGTGTTGAGGAACAAGACGATACCAATGGTGAAAGTCCTTTGGAGACACCACGGAGTCGAGGAAGCTACTTGGGAGCTCGAACAGAAGGTTCGGTCCAAGTACCCAGCGTTGTTTTCTTCTTCAGGTATGTCTTGATTTCGGGGACGAAATCCTTATAAGTTGGGGAGAATGTGATGTCTGTGTATTTATTGTGTGTGTGTAGTGTAATATAAAAGTAAAAGAAAAATAATTTAATGGTGGGGCCCACAAGGCACTTTAGAAAAGGGTCAAGACCATAAAGTTGGTCTCATTTTCCTGATTCCCTTTCTCTCTCTTCGTGCATCTCTCTCTCAACCCGTAAGCTCATTTTTCTCTTATTTTTTGGTTTCAACTTTGAGGTTAGATTTCTCACTCATTTCTTGTTGGAATTAGGTTCCGTTTGAGGCAAAACGAAGCTCGTGTCAAGCTCTATACATCCATACCATCAATTTCCAGTTTTGAGTCTTCCTTGGAGCTCGAATTTGAGGACCAATTTTCTAGGGTTTTGGTGCAATCTTGAGGTAGGGGCCCTTAATTCATGAAATCTTGTACCTTAGTGAGTTAATTGCCTCTAATTGTTGTTTAATTTGATTAATTGTTTAAAATCTAGAGAATTGTTGATATGTATGCATATATGTTAGTTGTGTGACTATATTTGTTGATTGTTCTATGTGAAGCATGTTTAGGACTTGATTATATATGTTCATTGTGCTAGAACTTGTTATGTATAAGCATGTTATGACTTTCTTGATTATTCTTGCGAATTATGCCATGTTGCTTAAATTAGATAAAGTATGGAATGATGAACTTGTGTATGTCATTGAGGTATTCATGCATTAACATTGGGCAGGAAAAGGGAAAGAATTGATTTACTTCAAAAAGGGGAAATTTCGGGAAAGTGTTTTTTATGAAATGATTTTATGCGAAACCCGGTCACTGCGGGGTTACCAACGGGCCGGAGGTTAATATAGCCTAGAGGGGACTAGGGAGTCGCCCTAATGTGGTTGAGCTAGCTGGGCCCCATAATGACGCCGCGGGGTTACCAAGGGTCAGGGACACTAGCCAATCCTCCTCTCGTGTTGCGGCGGGGTTACCAAAGGGCGGGCTGTATTAACGTTTGAAAGTGATGGTTTTGAGAATGAAAATGGGGAGTGTCATTGACATGCATTGCATTTCATTGCATTGCATTGCATTGTTTATAATTGGAATTGAATTGTATGTTATATTTGATCCCCTATGTTGTATGATCCCTATCTCCCATTGGCCTATGCTTTGCTTGAATTCACAAGGACACAAGATTTGTGTCTTAAGTGTCTCTGCTGAGCTATATGCTCACCCCTATATCTCTATATTTTTTTTCAGGTCTTGGAAAAGAACCGGTGGACGACAATCCACCCTAACTTTGAAAGTTGCTAGAGGAGCATTTTCCTTGTTATTTTGTAATAGACTACTCCTTTGTTCATCCCTCATTTTTTGTAAAATTCCAAAGGTGTAATGATGTAAAATTCTTTTGAAGAACCATGATCATGTAATACACTTATGATACTTGATGACATATGGGATACGAACTTGATGATATGTAACTTGTTGATGAATGGAAGGATAATCCTAACTTGAAGCATTGTCTAGATTAGTAGGTTGTATCATTATCTTTTGTTGCCGTGAATTCGATCGGAAATTAGTTGCATGACAGGTTAAATATGCATTTAAACAGGTTGCGGTAGGTCCATTTTTAAGGGAGGTTATGCCGAATTTTTTTTTTAAAAAAATTCTTGGCATTAGTTTTGGGATCGTTACATTATTGGTCCAGGATCACAAATAACTTGGATATATATATATATATATATATATATATATATATATATTTGTGGAACTATTGCCACAAAGGTCTTCTCATAGGTTGGCATACTATTTTCTGCCTCTACGCATGGATTAGGTCTTAATAGAACATGCCAAAGAATAAGAATGTTGTTGTCTGACCAATGATAGCACCGTTCTATCTTGCTTCGAAAATATTTTACTTCTAAAGCAGTGAAAAACTATCATGTTATGTCAATGAAAAAGATAAAAAAAAAAAAAAAAAAAAATTATAAAAATTAAAAAAAAAAATCTTTTTCTACACAGATCACAAGTGCGATAACAACTAATCTTCCCCATCATGACAGATAATTTATTGTTTATATTAGATCTCAAATCAGGCTTTTCTGATTGTCTGTTTGATCATACTTAATGAATTCACTGATTTGTGGAACCTGTAGGCTTTAGATAATACAAACTTGCCCAAACATATGCTTTTGTATCTCTATTCTTAACATACGATGCCATTGAATCTTCAAAATAAAACAACCAGTCCACTTTAGCACTTAAAAAGTAGCTTAATAGATAGAACTTGTTACAATGACATACACAAAATGGAAAAACCTCTTCCACTGAAACTTCAAAACGATTTTGAAGCATTAAAAAAATCATGTAATTGTATCTGTTTCTGACTGCATGTCAAAAAGCTTTGAATTTTGTCCATTTCTCGGCTGTTCTTGTGAGAGGTCTGACACGAGATCTTAGGAATGGTTCACTGCAGAAATGACTACCATAAGGCTACAAATATTTTCTTGCAGAGAGATTGGAGTGCTTGGTTCACAAGTACATGTCTTAAGGATTGTCTGATAAGTGCTATTTTCTTGACATGCTTCTCAATGATTTAAGAAGCTTCAAGAGACTGAGGTTTAGACAGGTAAAGGGTTGCCAATTAAGTCGAGTACTGTATTGTTTACAACTTTAGGATGCCTCGAGTTATTTGAATATTAATCTCTTCCAAAGAGCCAAGAGAGGTTCCTTATATGTTTTTGGAAAGGAGAGAAACTTGAGCTGTTGTGTATAGAATTCAAGAGAAGAAATACTCTTTGACAGCACAGGTAGCTCTTCAGTGATGTACTGCAGTCACATTATTGAATTATATGAATTGCTTTGATATTTATATTATCATTGTTCGCATTATTAAGTACTCTTCAAACTTTATCCAAAACCACATAATTTCTTCGTGGCAAGCTTACGTACTAAATTTCTGATTGAAGACAATCATTATACTCTTATCCACTTGGAATGCCTTTGCAAGAACATTGTCAGCAATTGATGGGTTTGATCCAAAAGCAGCTTCTGAGATGGTGATGGCACCAGGGTTCTGGCACTTATCCACTTGAATCATGTGAATTGTTATGTTAATCTGTATTATAATTCTTCAAAATCTCATATATAAAGACCTAAAATCAAAAACATTGATCTAAAGAAATTTCAAAGCATGGAGAAATCAATATTAAATATATAGCCTAATAGAGCACCTATTTTGAAAAATAATACAAAAATATGAAAATCTTTAGAAGAAGCTTAGTATAATTCCAAGAGATTTAAAGGGATCTTCATTTTTAACTTGCACATAGTAAAAATACAAAAATGCATTACAAAAGCAAATGCAATCACCACACATTCAAAATGAATTCTTCATCATGAACTTGAGCTTCTTTAGAATGTTGATTGAAGTTGATCAATGACTTTCTTGTCCACCTGGAAAGCCTTTGCAAGAACATCACCAGAGATGGATGGATTTGATCCAAACACAGAATTGGCAACAGTGATAATACCGGGATTCTGGCTGCTCAAAGCAGAGAGTGAAACAGCATTTTCATATCCCACATTTCTTTGGAAGTGAGGAAGTCCTACTGGGAAGACAAACACATCACCCTTTTGAAGGACTTTTGAGATGAACCGGTTTTCTGGATTGGAGGCCACAAAACCAACGTCAAGGCTGCCTTCCAATACTGTCAGTACCTCCGTGGCGCGAGGGTGCATGTGAGGAGGAATAAGACCCCATGGCGCATAGTCTAAGCGTGCCAAAGCGATGCCAAGGGTGTTGAGGCCAGGTAATTGTGCCACTGTAACGGGTGTCACCCTAGAACCAAGGGGGTTCGAGGTGTTGCCAACAAGATGGAGGCCACTGAAGGAGAAATGACTAGCTTGAACAAGCTTAGAGTCCATGCAGGCAAGGCCATTAACTCTTGCTGTAAAGTTGCACCAAAAAAAAATTTGAGAAACAAATACCAAATAGACTTCAATTGGATATAAGGCAAATATGAAAATGAATACTACATAATGCAAGATACAGCTGACAGAAAGTTAAAACATGTTAATAAGAAATAATTATGTCACAACCTGAACTTGTAGTATCTGCAACACAGAAATCCTGCAAAGGGCTAGGCTCAAAGGCAACTGACAGAGTGTAAGTGATAGCTAGCAAAGTTAATAGCAGAATGTGACTTGCCATTTTTACACTGCAAGTAATTATAGCAAATAAGTTAATACTAGAAATCAGATTTCTGAGAGGACTTGTGGATGTGTTACCAAAGCTCTATATGATCTCTATATATAGAAGGGAAGTGGATGGCATTCAAATTTAAAAATGAAGAAAAAGTCTTTAACAGGATAAACTGCCTGCTGAAACCACACACACACATATCAAAAGATCCGGCAAGTTCAAATCCTAGGCGGCATAAAAACATTCACTAATTCTAATATGGTAAACATACGAATCCAAAATATTGCAAAATATTGCATCATATAGTTTCTGCAACTTCCACACAATTATATGTTGCCATTTGGCACAAACTTAACTATTTTCCACCACCAGTTTCGGATTTAACTAAGTTACGAAGTCACACACCACTATATTGTTTTGGAATATCTTGGTACTTTCCATTGAAACAACCAGTGGCTTGTGGTATCGTTCGGCTGCAACTGCTTGGCAGCCCCCCATATGGTCTGTCCTGATCTCATCCAATTCACATTTTTGGGGTTAACAGGTATAGTGCTTTGAATTAGTAAGTGATACCTCAGTATAACAACCACATTTTTTAATAGATATTACAAGCTTTTTAGAAAGATTAAAAGGATTATGCATCCCAAGCTTTGATATTGACTTGCACACAATTAATTAAAACTTCATAAAAAGGGCAGATAACAGCACATTCATTGCCAATTTGCCCCACAAACAAAATGAAACTATTCATGGCTCAATCCTTCTTGCTTAATTGCACTTGGAGAATAACATTATTAACTACCATTTTTTTTATTATTATTTATTTATCTAAGAGTTAAACAGCAGTACAATCATGAACAGCTAACTCCCAAAGACTAGTAGGAAAATCACAATCTCAAGTCATCCATTCCGTTCTTCTCATAATAATTTGATTCCATGTGAGCAAGTTTATTAGCCTCTCTTCCCACCCAACTCAAATAAAATTGGGGATGCTGATTCGAAAGAAATCGAATATCCCCCTTCAGGCCTTCACTATTATAATAGAGGTAGGCTGCATTGAAGATTCAGTAACAAGAAGACAATCCCTTCCAATGACAACATCTTGAGGATTCCATTTGATAGCCCATTTAATTGATTGCTAGCAACTAAGGCTTCTGCAAATAAAGCCTAGGCCACCTCAGAGAAGAAACACACAGCTGGTTTAGGCAGCTAAGGTTGACAGCAACATGGAATTCCAGAATCAAATTCTGGTTTTAGAGGATTAAATGCGATAACGGCTGCAAGCTAGTTCAAATCTCAGTCATGAAAAAGTAAGTTGTATGCCTAATTCATTTTGTGAACATTAAAGGAAATGTATATTGTTGCTATAACCTTCTTTTCCAAGCCTTTATAGAATAATGTACATCAAACCAGTATAACATATTGATTTCATCCTAAATAATATCTTCCTAATATTTTAGTCTTGCCACAAAAGCATCACAAACCCATTAAGGTGCACCATATGTGTGTGTGTTCTGCATGCCTAATCAATTCAATTTCAGTAAGATCATTCAGAAATTTGGCGTGTTGGGATCCGTTTCAATATAACAAGTCAAGAATTATATATAATGTCATTTAGTTAATTACAACTGAGACTAAAGAGTGACATGAAATATTTGTTTTTTAGTCTAGTTTGTCTTCAATGTATAGATCTATGCAGATTCACTAAAGGCATTGAGGCTAACTTGGTACACATGCTTTATACCCTAATTACCAGAAAGTAAAAGAAAACACAAGTCACTAGCAAGCGAGCGAGTTTAATTTATTACTAGGATTTATCATTTGGTACTATTGTTGAGAATGTGTTTTGAACTACTGAAAGCATGTAAATGGTTGTGTAGGAAAATGAAGAAATTTTATGCATTATTGAATCATGTAAATTGTTATTTTAATTTGTATTATAATTCTTCAAAATATCGTACATTAAGACCTGAAATCAACAACATTGATCTTAAGAAATTTAAAAGCAAGGGGAAATCAGTATTAATGTTATAGTCCTACAAAAATATGAGAATCTTTAGTTCCAAGAAATTTAAAGGGAGCTTCAACACTGACTTGCACATAGTAACAATACAAAAATGAATTACAAAAGCAAATGCAATCACCACACAATCAAATTGAATTCTTCATCATGAACTTGAGCTTCTTTAGAATGTTGATTGAAGTTGATCAATGATTTTCTTGTCCACCTGGAAAGCCTTTGCAAGAACATCACCAGAGATGGATGGATTTGATCCAAACACAGAATTGGCGACAGTGATGATACCGGGATTCTGGCTGCTCAAAGCAGAGAGCGAAACAGCATTTCCATATCCCACATTTCTTTGGAAGTGAGGAAGTCCTACTGGGAAGACAAACACATCACCCTTTTGAAGGACTTTTGAGATGAACCGGTTTTCTGGGTTGGAGGCCACAAAACCAACCTCAAGGCTGCCTTCTAACACTGTCAGTACCTCGGTGGCACGAGGGTGCATGTGAGGAGGAATAAGACCCCATGGCGCATAGTCTAAGCGTGCCAAAGCGATGCCAAGGGTGTTCAAGCCAGGTAATTGTGCCACTGTAACGGGTGTCACCTTAGAACCAAGGGGGTTCGAGGTGTTGCCAACAAGATGGAGGCCACTGAAGGAGAAATGACTAGCTTGAACCAGCTTAGAGTCCAAACAGGCAAGGCCGTTAACTCTTACTGTAAAATTGAACAAAACAAATGAGAAACAAATTTCAAATCCAAGACTTCAATTATAAGGCAAAAATGAAACTGAATTATATAGAATGTAAAGCAATAACAATGTCACAAACCTGAGCTAGTAGTATCTGCAACACAGAAATCTTGCAAAGGGCTAGGCTCAAAGGCAAATGCCAGAGTGCAAGTGACAAGCAGCAAAGTTAGCAGCAGAATGTGGCTTTCCATTTTACACTGCAAATAATTATAGCAAAGAAATTGATATATGAAATCAAATTGCTCGGAGGACTTGTAGATGTGCTACAAAAGCTCTGCAGGCTTTCTATATATATAAGGGAAGTGGATGGTATTCAAATTTTAAAATGAAGAAAAAGTCCATAACAGGATAAACTGCCGGCTAAAAGCACACACTGACACACATATATATCAAAAGTTCCAGCAAGTTCAAAAACTAGCCGGCATAAAAACATTCACTAATTCTGACATGCTAAACAAACAAATAAATTTTTTTGTGAATTGGTCAGAATATCATTATGTCGACATATTGCATCAACATCATGGAGCAATAAGATATAATATATTTTCTGCAACATCCACACAATTATATGTTGACGCTTGGCACAAACTTAACTATTTTCCGCCTCCAGATATGGATTTAACTACGACAGAAAAACGAAAACCACTAAATTGATTTGTAATTTCGTGGTACTTTCCACTGGTACAACTACTGCTTGGCAACCCCATGGTCTGTCCTGCACTCATCCGAATCACTTTTTTTGGGGTTAACAGGTATAGTGCTTCAAATTAGTAATTGACACCTTAGTACAAGAAGCACATCTTTTAATAGATATGACAACCTTTTTAGGAACTTAAATGTGTCCCAAGTTTTGATATTGACTGCGCACAATTAATTAAAAATTTAAAACTACACAAAAAAGGCCACATAACAGCACATTCATTGCCAAATTGCCACACAAACACAATGAATTTCGTCATGGCTCAATCCTTCATGCTTTATAGTTACTGCTCAATCCTTCATGCTTTATTGCATTTGGACAATAACATTATTAACACATTATTCTGACCGTATATTTTGTTCTAAGAGTCACGCAGCAGTACAATCTTGAACAACAACCTCCTGAAGACTAGTCGGAAAATCACAATCTCAAGTCAGCCATTCCTTTCTGCTCGTAATAATTTCAGTCCTTCACTACTGCAATAGAGGCGGGCTGCATTGAAGATTCAGTAACAAGATGACAATCCCCTCCAATGACAACATCTTGAAGAGTCCATTTGATAGCCCATTTAACCAATTGCTAGCAACTAAAGCTTCTGTGAATAAAGCCAAGGCCACCTCAGAGAAGAAAGTGTCACAATTATTTTGAGGATCAAAAGTGATAATGGCTGCAAGCAAGTTCAAAGCTCAGCTAGGAAAAAGTAAGGTGTATGCCTAATTCATTTTGTGAACAATAAAGAAAATGTACATTGTTGCTACAACATTCTGTTTTAAGCCTTTATAGAATGTACATCAAACCAGTATAACCTATTAAAATTATCCTAAACCATGTCTTCCAAATATTTAGTCTTGCCACATAAGGTGAGGTGCACCATATGTGTGTTTGTGTGTTTTCTACATGCCTAGTCAATTCAATTTCAGTTAGACTGTTCAGCAATTTCGTGTATTGGGATACCTTTCAATATAACAAGTCAAGAATGATATATAATTTCAATAAGCTAATTACAATTGATAATAAAGAGCCAAAAAAAATATTTTATTTTGTAGTCTAGTTTCTCTTCAATATATAGATCTTTACAGATTCACTCCAGAGGAGTTTTTCATAGAACTTGCCAATAACAAATTTATTCCAATGGGGAATCCCAGCTTCATTGAGGCTAACTTGGCACATGCTTTATACCCTAGTTACCAGAAAGTAAAAACAAAACACCAGTCATCAGCAGCGAGCGAGTTAAATTTATTACTAGGGTTTATCAATTTTTTGGTACTATTGTTGAGAATGTGTATTGAACTACTGAAAGCATGTAAATGGTTGTGTAGGCATATGTAGAAAGAAATTTTATGCATAATTGAAATTTCTTATTATCAATGTTGTTGATTTTAACTTACCCGGAAAAAAATGTTGTTGATTTTAGGTCTTAGTATGTGAGATTGTGAAGTATTATAATATAGATTAAAATAACAATTTAAAGTAACACAAAAATATGAGAAGCTTTAGAGTGAGCTTAGTAACATTCCAAGAAAGTTAAAGAAGACTTCAATATTGACTTGCACATATATAGTAAAAATACAAAAGTTTGATTTTGGACAAAAGCAAATGCAATCACCACACAATCAAATTGAATTCTTCATCATGAACTTGAGCTTCTTTAGAATTTTGATTGAAGTTGATCAATGACTGTCTTGTCCACCTGGAAAGCCTTTGCAAGAACATCACCAGAGATGGATGGATTTGATCCAAACACAGAATTGGCGACAGTGATGATACCGGGGTTCTGGCTGCTCAAAGCAGAGAGTGAAACAGCATTTCCGTATCCCACATTTCTTTGGAAGTGAGGAAGTCCTACTGGGAAGACAAACACATCACCCTTTTGAAGGACTTTTGAGATGAACCGGTTTTCTGGATTGGAGGCCACAAAACCAACCTCAAGGCTGCCTTCCAATACTGTCAGCACCTCGGTGGCACGAGGGTGCATGTGAGGAGGAATAAGACCCCATGGTGCATAGTCTAAGCGTGCCAAAGCGATGCCAAGGGTGTTGAGGCCAGGTAATTGTGCCACTGTAACGGGTGTCACCTTAGAGCCGAGGGGGTTCGAGGTGTTGCCAACAAGATGGAGGCCACTGAAGGAGAAATGATTAGCTTGAACAAGCTTAGAGTCCATGCAGGCAAGGCCATTAACTCTTGCTGTGAAGTTGCACAAAACAAATGAGAAACAAATGTCAAATATAAGCCAAATATGAAACTGAATGACATATAATGCAATATATAGCTGACAACAAGGTCGAACATGTTAGTAAGTTGTAACAATGTGACAACCTGAACTAGAAGGATCAGCAACACAGAAATCCTGCAAAGGGCTAGGCTCAAAGGCATATAAGGTAGTGCAAGTAACAACCAGCAAAGTTAGTAGAAGAATGTTGCTTGCCATTTTACACTGCAAATAATTATAGCAAAGAAGTTGATATATGAAATCAAATTGCTCAGAGGACTTGTGGATGTGCTATAAAAGCTCTATAGGCTCTCTATATATAGAACTAAAGTGAAGTGGATGGTATTCAAATTTAATAATGAAGAAAGTCTGTAACAGAATAAAGTGCCGGCTGAAACCACACACACTGACACACACATAAATCAAAAGATCCGACGAGTTCATCCTAGCCGAGCAGCCTGCGTAAAAACAGTTAGCTAATTCTGATACACTAAACATACGAATCCAAATTTGTATTAAAATACATTGCTTCTAGCGCTATCCAAGAAAAATACTCCTTAAAAAAAAAAAAAAAAAGAGAGATAAATACTTGGTGAAAATATCATTAACATATTGCATCAACATCATGGAGCAATAAGATATATAATTTCTGCAACTTCCACACAATTATATGTTGGCATTTGGCACAAATTAACTATTTTCCATCTCGAGATATGGATTTAATTTTAAACCACGATGACAAAAGAGATTTCGTAGTACTTTCCATCCACCCAAACTCGTAATAATCATACCACTCTGTCTACCGGGGCACCTCTCAAGTGGGGCACAGTTGGGCGCCGGCGGGCGCTCGACGTGGTAGAAGTTCAAGGACTGAGTCATGTGGGAGAAGAATACACCTCTAACTGTTGGGATTTATATGCCCTGGCATAGCAAATTCCTGATATTTCTAAAATATTTATATTTTATACAATTGGTGAATTCAATGTATTATATTTCGATAGTGTCCATTTGATTACAAGAGATATTTATATATACGTATGTGATGGCAATCAATGCATGATATATAAATAGTAATCATAAATGGTTCTTAGTCGATAATTATGGATGGACTCATAATTAATTAAGATTTGAATTGGATCTGCGTTAGGTTGAGATATATTGCGAGAGCCGTCGTATGCAATTGCTCCCTATCACTGTCATGGCATTTGACTCTTAAGCATGAGAAAATTATAGACTCTTTTATTAATTAATAATTACTTTGATTTGTTAGACGGATTCTTCGGGATCCTTAGATCGACACTTTGGGTAGTTATGTAATTAATAGTCAGAGGGTTATATTTTCAATATTTGCATCATTGCTACTTGTATTTATTTTGTATTAATTATGGTTGATCACAAAGTAAATTCGAAGGCCTTCGTGTGTTTTTAGACAAATGATTTATTATATATTTATTTATTTAAATTATTATTTTTGTCAAATAAATGTTTTATTGTGATCGAGCCAGAAATAATTAATGGTACCAAAATAAATATATTAATTAAGTAGTCGGATTGATGGCTTTATTTATCCAATAACTAATTTTGCATAGAGGTGTCAAAGTGCAATATTGACTTAGAGGTTATTTATTATTTAATTGGAGTTCAATTAATTTCTTTTAGTGGAGTAGAAATTAATTTATGAATTAATTGAATTGGGTCCATAGACCGGACCAATTATTAATTCATTGTAGCCAATAAAATAATAAGCCCAAAGGATTCTCGCTTATAGCCTAACTTGATATTGGAATCCTGTTAGATTTGAGACATTTGAATTAGAGATTGAGAAGGATTTTGTTACGACCCGACAATTTCAATAAAATCCTCAATTTATACAGTTTCAAAGACATCAAAATACACCCAGAATCATAAAAATTGTCCTCTCTTTTATACAAAAATCAATTTTCTCAAATATACAAAAAATCTCTAATAAAATATATAAAATCCTGCAACGCCAACTCTTCATCCTAAGCTTGTATCTACAATCCCCGTCCATCCTCGGTATCTGAAACTGGAGGGTGGTGAGACAAAAAGTCTCAGTAGGAAAAACCATAACAAGAATCTCATGGAGGTTTAATAAAACAGTTTCACAAAATAAACATATACAGGTGAGTATAAACAAAATAAATATGCATTTAATCAAAACATTTCATAAAACATTTAATCAAAACCTCCCCATGCCATTCAAGGTATAGAGAACCCTATACTGAAAATCATCAAGCCTCAAGCTCCGGCCTCCTCTGCAACTCTCGGGTCACTCACTGTCTGCTCAAACTATCTCTGTCTTCACTCTATTTTTCCCTCTCAAACTCTCTGTCTCGGCTCACTCTATTTTTTCTTCTGTTTTTGCGTACACACAACACTCTCAATTTCTAAGCCAAATGAACCGACACAATGCACAAATATCAATTAAAAAAAACTTCAACTCGGTCCCGCCACGCACTATCTTTTCTTATCATTTCGGCAATTCCACATGCACCATCAGAAAACAAAACCAATTTCAACCAAATACAGTCTCACTCTGAAACGTTAGACAACCCATGTGAAAAGCTAAGAAAATCAACTTGTGGGACCCACGAAGTCCCATTCTTTTTTTTCGACCTTTTCTATTTTTGGGCACCAGGTACACCCTTTGGCAGGATACAAAATATATATATAGATATATATAACAATAATAATATTATTAATATCATAAGTCAAAAATAATAATACTTCGTCCATATCTTCACATCATTATACCAAAAGCTTACTCCAAACCCACGTAAACAAAGCTAGAGAAAAAGTGGCCAACAAGTCTCATTGGTGGGACCTACTAAATCATTACAACTTTTTCTTCATCTCCCATCACAATTCAGCTCCTGCTCCTCTTAATCCGACTGACACAATATATATATATATATATATATATATATATATATATATGATAAAATTAAATCAAAGTTCAAAACCCACTAATTTTAATAAATAGTTAATAAATATAAACAGTCTAAAAATCATAAAATACTTAAATTAAAAGCTCAAAAATTCGGATCATCACAGATTTGTTGTTTCCTTTTCTTTATCTTTATGTTGCCTATAAATATACATGGTCTATGTATATTTTAGGGGTGATTTTTGGTAAAAGGAAAAAGGAACCTATTTTCTCTCTCTAGAATATTAGGGTTTATGTTCTCATCTAATGTAGGCTCTCACAAGTTTAGTTTTTCCAAGGTCATTCATGGAGGCTTATGAGTGATTCCTAAAGGCAAAACAATTACCAAGAAGATGGAGATCCAAGGAGAAGGCATCTTGCAAAGGGATCTACAATAAGTGAGAACATTCACTTTAGAGGAAAGTTTTAAAGGTTTACTCAGACCTTTGATGTAAGTATTCAATCTGTTAATTGAATGATACATCATATTTTATTTTTGCATAAAACTTGTCTCTATGTGATGAATCAAGATCTATGAATCAAAATCCCTCAAAAAGTTTTTAAAATTTGCACGTTTCCCAACAGTGGTATCAGAGTATGGTTTGATTCATTATTAGAGATCATATTTTTATCAAAATTCATCATTCATGGATCCAATTTTAATATGCATATATTTATTTATTGATGTTTGTTGATGTATGAATTAATATATTAATATATATTGATATATGATGATGTATGTATAATTGTGAATAGATGATGATGTGTGATTGGGCCATGGATGAAGCTTATAGGTTTTCGAATGTAATTTTATTTTTGGATGAATGTAATTAAGGCTTTGATTTAGCCATTTGAAAGTTCAATGATGTAATTTAAATTTTTTTTTTTCATTGTATTTCAAATTGTAAATATTTTTAAAGCCATGTAATCTTTGTCAAAGGATGATATGAAGCTTCAAGAAGGTCCAGAAGGGTTAAATTAGGCTTCAGGAATTTTTTGAAATTTTTCTAGAATTTTTCGGAATTTTTCTGGAATTTTTTGGGCTTAAATTGTATTTTCTGGGAATTTTTTATTATTTTTCCTGGATTTTCCAAGATTTTCAGGCGGCTGGAGTGCGCCGCCGTCAATAGTGGCGCCGGAGACAGTGGCCAAGAGATCCGGTGTGGCGCGGTCCACATGCGGCCGCATCAACCACCCTTGGATCAAAGATCACCCCTGGAGATGATATGGTGCAGCGCACCTACATAAAAAACGGAATGCAAAAACCAATAGACACGCGCGTAAAGGACACGAGCTGACCATGCCAGGCCTAATCAGGCATGTGCAATGCGTTGGCCCTTGGCAAACGCGCTTGGGTCCGCGTCATAACGCGTGGAAGTGCTTCAAAGCGCGTGGACGCGCGTCAGAGCGCGTGGACGCTCGTCAAGGCGCGTGGAAATGCTTCAGAGTGCATGCTTGGCACGTGGGGCTGTTGATTTGCTTCCTGCTTATGCACCATAGCATATGATGGACCCTCAAGCATGAATAAATGCATTTTTGAAGATATTTATTGCCCGAAAGTGGTATTTAATATTATTCTCCATTATTTAAAGATAATGGGAGTTTAATAGGGCGCAATAATGATAGCATTTAATAATTATTTAGTTTTTAATGTTAAAAGCTAAATCCATTGGCCATTTTATCTACTTTATCATTTATTTATCTATCATTTATTGATGTATGTGATGCATGGAATAGATAATTGTTTATTAATTATTATTCATGCATTGGATCCATGATATTTAATTAAATGACTTGATTTATATTAATTAAATTATGAAGATAAATTGGATTTGATTGCTAATTAATTTGAGGGCATTTATTGGGAAACGGAAAAATTATTTTTTGTAAATTATTTTAAAATAATGCCTCAAATTAAATATAAGTGAATAATTTAAAATCCAGATATTTTCTAAATTTAATTAGATTAAAATCAAGGCGTTTAGCATGCATTAAATCATGAAAAGAAAACCCCAATTATGAATGATTAAAAATTAAGTGGGAGCGGGGATTTTTATACATTACCCCATGGCCTTCATTATTAAAACCATTGTAATTAGATCTTCAAAAATAAGGCCCCACACATGATTTGAAGAGTCTTAATATTACAAGAATGGTTGTCTCATGAAAATAATAATATTAAATGTTCATTGTAATTAGATCTTTAAAAATAAGGCCCTACGCATGATTTAAAGAGTCTAGATTATAATGACAAGATATTTAATGTTTTATT